ATTCAAAACAAGTACCAAGCAAGCAATACATTATATCCCCATTTCCCAGATCATAAATGTTATTTTTTTATAACTAGCCAAGACTCGAAGCTCATATACCCCTGCAGCGGAAAGATGGTAAATCTAAAGCTAGGACCAGAACTGAACAAACCAATCCTTCAAAGCATTACCGAAGAAGAATCATTGCCCCAACAGTAATTGATACGGATTGAACTATTCAGCCTTGGTGCTATGCTTAGGAGGAGGCACTAGTAATATTCTGGTGAACTGCGAGCGAGCAATGTGTAATGTCATTCAACAATCCATTAGCCTAAATACCACTTCATTGAAAAATCAATTGAACTTGCATCCGATTGCCGGCCACTGACTAGGCTATCAAGTTTTGGAGCTACTTCTGCAATAACTTATTCTCACCGAAAGAACTTTCCGAATCAAAACTCAGGGCAAGCATCACTAATCTCTCTATTTATGCATGTAATAACACAAACTTTTCATAAAAAAAGATATAATAACACAAAAGAGAGGCCAAAGTCCATGGAATTATCATGGAAGAGAACGCGTAACTAGAAAGGGAAGGGGATCGCCAAACTGGTAATGAACCTTGTGAAGGCCGTTTCGTTGGGCGATCTTAGAATTCAGCTGTCGAAACAGCTATTAGGTCTTCTCGAGATGGAAATTCTGAGGTGCCGTTATCGATCTTTTTCTTCTCTCCTCGCTATCTCTGGTGTTTTTTTATCCGTAGTCGGAAACTGGACTGTGACGCCGCCGGGGTGCAAAAGAATGGCGGGCACGATTGGAAATGGGGAGGAGAAATAGCCAACAGGAGGAGGGTTTGGAATAATTGTTCAAATGATACTATAACTTTGGTACGTACACAAAATGGTGATATCTCTTCTATGTTTTGCCAAAATGGTATCGTAATTTCGAAAAAGTTAATCTCCTAACAGGCCATTTTGTTAGGAGATACTGACAGGGTCAGATTTTGGGCCACGTTTGCTTGGGCTTCATCTAACGGAGGAGAGTGGCGGCTGGGTGATGGCTCACTTAAATGAGCTGGAGATGGGCTTCCGTGTAGAAGCCGGCCCAGCGTGCGGCGCAGAAGGCGAGCCGAGCAAGTGGCGTGGTGGGCCCGGGGCCAGTTTGGGCGGGATTTTGGGTTGGAGTGGAAAGAGAACGAAATTTTTGGGCCCCATGTGATATATATATATATGTATGTTTGTTTGTGGATATTTATTTGTTTTCAGTCGATATTATTATGTGTTGTGTTGATATTACTTTGCATCATTGTTGAAATGAACTAGTATTCTTCCTTCGCAAATCAATATTCATCATTAAATTAATATTTACCAAACCCCAAAATAACCCAACCACCCAAAACTGATTACACCAATTTAGAGTTAAGTTTTAGGGTTTATGGTTCGGTTTTCAATTTATGAAGGATTGGAATATTGTTTCTTACATCAAATTAAACACACTAGGAAATTAAACACACTAGGAAGTCCTAACACGTAAGGCTTGCAACCTTAGTTAGGGCTGCCCGCCGAGGGCCCATGGGCCGAAGGCCCATTAAATAATAATAGTTTTATGGTTTAGGGTTTGTGTTACGGTTTAATGTTAAGGGTTTAATTATGGTATCATCAGATATTAGTCTTGGAGGGTGGGATATTAGTCTGGGTGGTTTGGACATTTTTTTATGGTGAACGGATATTAGTCTGGGTTGGTTTGGATATTTGTTTTATGTGGTGTTTATCTATATTTATGATTTAGTGATTATAATTTAGTATTTAGTTTTTGTGATTTAGTGATTATGGTTTATGTTTTTAGGAATTAGGGTTTAGAGTTTATATGTAGTTGGTTGGGTTTTGATTTAGGTTTTAGAAGACGATATTGTGGAAATTTTTATGAATATAATGTAGGGTGGTTCGATATTTGTTTATGGTGATAAGATATTCTTATGTGATGGGATGTTAGATATTAGTCTGTGTGTGGTGGGTATTAGTCTATCATGGTAACGATATTAATTATGGTATCAGCGGATATTAGTCTTAGAGGGTGGGATATTAGTTTGGGTGGTGTGGACATTTTTTTATTGTGAACGGATATTAGTCTGGGTGGGTTTGGATATTTGTTTTATGTGGTGTTTATCTACTTATTTGTATATGATTACATCAATTTAGGGTTTAGTGTTAGGGTTTAGACTTTAGGACTTAGAATTAGGGTTTACAGTTTAGGGTTTGGTTTTGATTTAGGGTTTAGATATTAGTCTGTGTGTGGTGGGTATTAGTCTATCATGGTGACGATATTAATTATGATATCATCGGATATTAGTCTTTAACGGTGAGATATTAGTCTGGGTGGTGTGGGCATTTTTTTTATTGTGAACGGATATTAGTCTGCAAAGTCGAATATTAGTCTGGGTTGGTTTGGATATTTGTTTTATATGGTGTTTATCTATGTTTGTTTGTGTTGATATTTAGTTTAAACAAATCCGTAACAAAACAAAGTCGTTTTTCGACAAATCGCGATACAACTAGTATTCAGTGTCATTCCAACTTTGCAATCTCATAATCTAAAATCCGTAAAAGTACAACCACAAAATGAAAAAAGAATAGTTCAAATGTTGTCTTGCTTGGCCAAACTTTCGATAATATTTTTGATCATATCCCTCAAAGCCCTCCGTGTTCAAGTGTGGGATTGCTGCTCCAAAGTGTCGATCATCTTTTGGACTTTTCGCCGCCTCGATAATATCTTGACCTCACAGGGATTAAATGTGTTTAATTGATTGCTAAATGCGGGTAATTGATTAAATGTGTTTAATTGATGACTAAAGGGAAAAACAAACCGAAGAATCGTGAAGAGGCAAAGAGATCGAGGATATTAGTCTGGGCTTTCAGGATATACTTTGGCACACAAAAAGTATTAGTCTGAGCTTTAAAGATATTATTCTACATAAAGACATATATTTTTCTCGGAGGTTACGTTATATTTTTGAGAATTTATGTTGGTAATTATATCCAACATTTAACAAAATATTATCCATTTTGCTACAAACCAACATCTTTCCCTAAATATTATCTAACCCTAAGTTCAGTTTTACAAACCAATATCACACTACACAAATCTAAAATAAACTTTTCTTCCTTTTCCCTCATCGTCTTGGTCATCACTTTCTTCATCCTCAATTTCTTGGTCCTCATTTTGTTGTTGTTGTTTGGCACATTTAGGCCTAAAGGTTTCGCCTTCTGATGTGGTCCTCATTGCAGTTGATTTAGTTCTTGTCATTATGATTTCCCTGCCGAGTAGAATATCCTGACATTAGCTAATCAATAGCTGGACTCCACATAACGAATACCCTAACGATCAGAAGTAATATCAAACAAGTCATATCCAAATATATCAAACAACTATCCAGGCAATTCACAAAAGATATCATGGTCGACCAAAACCAATATCAATGTAGGAATATCCAGATATATCAAACAACTATCCATGCAATTAAAAACTGATATCCTGCCCGAAAAGAACTAATATCGGAACGCACACAAAACATATCCACAAAACCCAAAAAAACAAAGCAACCCAGATCTAATCAAATCCACAAACAAAGCAACCCAGACCCAGATACAGTCACATCCACAAACCCAGAAAACATATCCGCATAATCCAAATATATCAAACAACTATCTAGGCAATTCACAAATGATATCATGGTCAACCAAAAACAATATCAATGTAAGAATATCCAGATATATCAAACTACTATCCAGGCAATTAAAAACTGATATCCTGCCCGAACAAAACTAATATCGGAACGCACACAAAACATATCCACAAAACCCAGAAAACAAAGCAACCCAGATCCAATCAAATCCACAAAATCCATAAACAAAGCAACCCAGACCCAGATCCAGTCACATCCACAAACCCAGAAAACATATCCACATAATCCACAAAAGAAAGCAACCCAAATCCAGTCAAAATCTAAGTTACCAGAAAACAAATCCATCAAACTCATACAAAAAACGCAGAAAAAGAAAAACCCAGATCTAGTAAAATCCATGAAACCTTAACTTCAAAAAACGCAGAAAAAGAAAAACCCAGATCTAGTGAAAAGACAAATACCCAGATCCAATAAAACAACTATCCAGGAAAGTGAAAACTGATATCATGCTCGAACAAAACCAATATCAATACAAACAGAACTAATATCGGCACAAACAGAACTAATATCGACACGAACAAAACTAATATCGGCACAAACAGAACTAAATATCGACACAAACAGAAAGCCATTCCACAAAACCCAGAAATAAAACCCACAGAAGAACGAATCATGCAACCCTAACTCAAATCTGTCCAATCGAAAACTAATATCCACGATCTATGCTTGAAACCTTACTTGATCAAGAACCCGAGTTCCCTGCAAAGCGCCGCCGCCGAGATCGCTGCTTCGTCGCCGCCGACAAGATCGCTGCCGCCGAGATCGCCGCCGCCGAGACCTCCGAGTTCGCTGTAAGGTCGCCGCCGCCGAGATCTACAACTTCGCTGCTTCACTGACGCCGAGAACTCCGTCGCGGTAAGGTCGCCGCCGCCGAGTTTGCTGCTTCGTCGCGGCCGCCGAGATCTCTGCCGCCGACTTTGCTACCGCCGTGATCTCTGCCGCCGACTTCGTGGCCGCCGAGTTCGCTACACCGCGCGGTCGTTTGTCTGTGTTTGGGAGAGGAGGAAAGGGAGAGAGAAAGGGAGAGAGAGGCAGGGGAAAACTAATTTGGCGGAGAACTGAAAATGGGTAGGGTTTAGGGTAATTTTTTTGGGTTTTTGAATTAGTGGGCCCCGCAAGCCGCTGTGGGCTTTGCCCAGCCGATGAAATCGGCTCTATTCCCACACTTTCTGGCGCGTTCTCTCCTCCACCGATAGATAAAGGCTTGGCGACGTGGAGGCCGATCCGCCCCTGTTAGCATCTCCTAACAAGTGCCCTTGTTAGGGCATAACTAGATTGCGTAATTTTGGTATTTATTAGTTGTCTTCTTCTCGCCTTTCCGAGAGGAGTCAAATTAACTAACGACTCGCCGGTGGGAGACGATGGAAACAGGAAGAGTGACAGTGGAAAGAGTCGGAGGGAAATCGACGGTGACAAGATCCTTCTCAAAGTATCCTCTCAAATTTATCCTTCCCAATAAGGTTTCCCTTCATCTCAATCTTCTTCCAATTTGCTCGTTGACCAACCCACCTGCAACCATCCGTTTTTGGGGTTTTCTTTTCATGATCTGTTCTGCTCTTTTTGTTGTTGTTGGATTTGGCTCAGGTGGGTTCTGCAGGGACCGATGCTGTGTGGATTTACGCACTCACCTATGGTGGCGGTATTGTTTCTGTACGCTGCTGCTTCTCTTACTTAACTCTGTATGTTACTTTCTCCCACTTGGGTTCTGCTTACAGAAGAACAAAAAGTTTGAAGCTTTTTCTGACGAGGGTTTGATAATATGACTTAATTGGTGAAGGGTGACCGTATATCTTGTGAATTTTTCGTTGGAAATGGCTGCACAGCTGTGTTAACCACCCAAGCATCCACCAAGGTTGGTAGAGAGTAATGCTTTTGGTTTCAAAGTATAATCAGAGCTGGGTTTTGGCTTGAGTTTTGCTTGATGTTAAACCTAGGTTTACAAGTCCCTGGGGTCCAGATGTTCTGAACAGCTGCTGGAGGTAACTCTCAGAATGTTTCCATGTTTTTGCATTTTAATTGGTGGTTTGTTAATGCATATGCAATAGTGGTTTGTGTTGAATGGCTGGCTTGATGATGATGGTGTTGCTGTTTATGTGATGGTGGGTGTCTTTTATGTTTATTATGCAGTAGGCAAGGATAGGGAGTGATGCCCTTTTGGTAGTGATTCCTGATCCAGTCACCTGTTTTTCGACGGCGAGATATGCTCAGAAACAAGTGTTCAGAGTTGTTGCAAACTCTAGCAGCTTGCTACTTGTGGACTGGATTACAAGCGGGCGACATGAGAGCGGGGAGAAGTGGGAATTCCAGCTTTATAAGAGCACCAACCAGATACTCTTGGTTGATGACGATGATCGGCCCTTGTTTGTTGACTCGGTAGTTCAATCGTTCTCTAAGTTCAGTATTCATTGTATTAGCGATATGCTACTCGTGTTTTTGAATGATGATTCGTGTATCTATAGGTATTGCTGGAACAAGGAAGCATCTCAAGTATTGCAGACCGCATGCTGGACTACCAAGTCATTGCAATGATCGTAATCTTGGGGTATTAAAGCGATCACTTATATGTGTTCTTCTCCCTGGATGGCTGATGCCATATATTGGAGAAACTGTTGTGCTGATAATATGAGTTTCTGTAGGCCCAAGTTGAAGAACATCCAAAACCAAGTCCAAGAAAGTGTAAAAAGGTTGATGTCTGACCAACTGCATATGCCTTACTCTGGCGTGAGAGCCAGCAGCAACCATGCCAAACCGAATTCCAGCAGCGCCTTTAATAACAAGCCGCAACTCGTTGCTTCTTGCAGTCCATTTGGTCCCAAGGTATGTATCGGTACTGACCTCGTGGTTTCCAACATTGCTGTGAATCTTTCTCTTTCCTTATTCCATGTGGTTCGCTGAGCCTCGCTGCTCTCTATCAATCAACACAGGGTGTGGGAGTTGTAGTCAGGATAGCAGCCACAACAACTGAATCAGTGTACAAGTTCTTGAACCATCAACTGAGTGGGATGGAGTCGCTCATCGGTGTCCCACCATATCGTTGAACTTGCTCTTTGCTTTCCTGGTGTGTTCGAAAAATCGCCAGTTGATTCCTTGTGATCGTATTGTTTGTAAGCGAACTATGAACTTCTGTTCCTGTCTGCAAAATGTTGCTGATTTTTCTCTGTGATTTGACTTAATGGTTTAACCCTTCGAATTGTGGAAGTTATCATTCATTTCCGGTTCTCGATAGTCAAAACCTTGCCAAAACCTCTCCATCTGGAGCTTTTGCACCATCTTGTGCTGTCCGTGAGTAAATGGTGATGGAGAAATTCATCAAAGTTCTCCAAATTTTTGAAGAGCGGATTCTGGTTAGAGTGGATTTGACGATTTGTTTTATTAATGTTCACTCGACTCATCAATCAACTCGTAAGATCGACTCGAGCTTTGATATCATATTGTTTAGTTCATAAGTTTCAATGGTGCACATCATTTATTTAATGGTAATTAGTATCTAATCAATTTATAATACATAATTTTTCTTTTATATTGTACGTGAGATATATTAGCTCGCTCTGTTTTAAATATCATATGTGGTGGTGCATATAATCTACAAAACTTATTATATGAACTATCAATATATCAATTCATTAGCTATCAATTGATTCGCTCATAAGCTCCTAGTTGAGGTGCCTCGCTAGTCACACTGTCAAGTCAACTCGTAGCTCAAAACGATGTAGCTCACCAGTTGACTTCATCAAGCCACTGAGTCGAATTAGCTTACGAGCATAGCGAGTTGAACAATGTTTAGTTCAAATTCGACTTGTTATTAAACAAAACAAGTGTTAGATGAGAATTTTTCTCAATAGAACGTTGAGCGGCGAGCAACTTTGCTCATTTGCAGGGGTGGGCAATGGTCTGGTCCGTACCAAACCACACCGAACTAACCCAACGTTTGGACCAGACCATATCGAACCCGAGTATTGTGTGGTTCGGTCATTGGTCCTATGAATTTTATAATTATTTAAGAAAACATGAACCAAATCAGATCAAATGGACCGAATACAATGATGGTTTGATATTTAATCCTAATATGTATTTCACTAATGGACCACAGTTCTCATAGATTTGATCGAATCGAACTGTTGCACACCCGTACGGCATAACTCATCAAAGCCCCCGATTTCTGGTGTAGTAATTTCCTCTTACAATTTTCACCACAACCCTCAGGCCAGAGTCCACAGCTACAGAGTTGCAGCAGTGGCTAATGAAATAAATTTATAAAAGGAAGATCGTTAATCGAGCTTTTATTAAATCAAACGAATTTTTATCGAGTTGGAGAACGAGCTATTAAAACAAAAAAGGAAAAGTAAAGGGAAAAAACATAATAAAATGACTATTCATCTCGTCCAGTTCTCACAGCTCACTCTCAAGCAAGAGTATCACTCACTCACAGTCTCACACTATTTGATAGCCACAGTTTTCTAGAGAAGGTAGGTCCAGCTCAGTTTCCTTTCGGTCGCGGCAGTGGAAACAGCGAGCGAGGGTTTAATTTTTGCCTCGAGCCCTCTTCGCTCTCCCTTATAATCTCGCACCCCGCCCATAGCCAATGGAAGGTCAGGTCCCCAAGAAGCGAGGCCGGAAGCCGAAGCCCAAGGAGGAGAAAGACCACCAACAGCCGCAGCAAGGCAAAATGAAGGAAGGGAAGCGCGGTCAGCACGCTGCTTCGGTTGACGAGAAGTATACTCAGTGGAAGTCTCTGGTCCCTGTGCTCTACGACTGGCTCGCTAACCACAATCTCGTCTGGCCTTCCTTATCTTGCCGGTACTTCCCATATGCTTTCGCCTTTTTTTCTCCCCCCTTACAGCCGTCCCCCATTTCTAGGGTTTTGGGTTGAGTGGTAGTGGAGTGAAGTGGAGGGAATGTTCGTCGTTTTCGAGTTTAGGGGTTTTTGTCGTTTTCGAGTTTAGGGTTCTCGTTTGTCTGATTAGTTAGGTGACAAAGGCGTGATCTTGGTTTGTTATTCCTTTGCTTGTGTTATATCTGTTTGAGTTTTCTTTCTTTTGTTGTGCTTCATTGTTACTGTGGTTGATTAATCTTCTTCTTTTGGGCAGATGGGGTCCTCAGCTTGAGCAAGCTACTTACAAGAATCGTCAGCGCCTGTATCTCTCCGAGCAGGCGAGATCGAGTTCCTCTGTTTTGGGTTTTTTTTCTACGGTGAAAGACGAGATTTTTAGGTAACTTTGCTTTTCTAACAGAGTCTTTTTATTTCTCTCTCTTTGTTTTCATGGCCAGACTGATGGTAGTGTTCCAAACACCCTTGTCATTGCTAATTGTGAGGTTGTCAAGCCTAGAGTCGCTGCTGCTGAGCACATATCTCAGGTGATGTTTACCGTTCTGACTCATGTATTTATCTAGTTTCTGTGTCTTCAGCTATGTCTCGGTATACTGTATGAAAGCCCAAGAAGTTATCCGTGCAGCTGTATAATTGATTAGGTCATACTTATTTTGGTCACAGTTTAATGAAGAAGCACGATCTCCATTTGTGAAGAAATACAAGACCATTATACATCCTGGAGAGGTATGGGTCCAGAAGAAATTATTCATGACGCAACGCATATGTTTCTTTCTTCAGTCCTTCATTATCCACAATTTCACAAATCCATCTTCCATTTCCAGGTGAACAGAATCAGGGAACTTCCGCAGAATAGCAGGATAGTGGCTACTCATACTGACAGCCCTGATGTGAGTGTGCGCTTATATATATTGAATTATGTATAAGGCTTGTTTTTTTTTTGTTTGTTTGTTTGTTAGAGGTCTTATTACTTGTCTGAGAAGCTTGACGTTGCTTATGTAGTTAGTTTCATGTAAACTGTTGAATGCAGGTTCTAATATGGGATGTAGAAACACAGCCAAACCGACACGCAGTCCTTGGAGCTTCAAATTCTCGACCTGATCTGGTAAGGCTTCATACTTAGACCTCACTGCAGGCCTTTAGTCACTTCTCTTTACTTTTTATTTTCACCACATAGTGCTGCTTTGGAGCTTTGCTGTGGGATCAAACACGTGCGTTTCTCCTTCATATGTCTATTCCAAGGGTTCTTTTCCTCTGGAATGGGTTAGTAATTGAGGAAGTAATCATAAAAAAATATTCAGGAATTGAAGTTTAACTTATTTCTCCTCGTTATGGAATGGGCTTCCACCATGAGATTCAGTATTTATTTGCAGGATTAGACATTTACATATCAATCTATGCGGAAAGTTTAAGTGGCCTCTGAGAAGTACAAGTTTCTGGGCTTTTCAGGATATGAAACCACTCTGATACGGGTTTTGTTTCTTTGCAGATATTGACTGGACACCAAGAGAATGCAGAATTTGCTCTGGCAATGTGTCCAACAGAACCCTTTGTGCTATCTGGAGGTTGGGATTTTCTGTCTAGTTATTATAGCTTAAACAAGGACTAATTAGCACTGTTGCACTGATTAGCTTTTGAACGATTTGACCTGTTTTTGTTTTATTGTCTTAGGTACGGATTGGTTTTTGTACTCTCATAGGATTGTTAGGTTGTAACTATATCTATTTATTCAAAAGTTTGAACCGGGAGCTTTCCATGCAGGGAAGGATAAGTCGGTTGTTTTGTGGAGCATCCAGGACCATATCACGTCCTCCGCATCTGACCCAGCCAGCGGAAAGTCTCCAGGATCTGGCGGCGGCTCCATCATTAAAAGGGATGGTAATGATAAAGCTGTTGATGGCCCAACTGTAGGACCAAGAGGGATCTATCAGGGCCACGACGATACAGTCGAAGATGTTGCTTTCTCTCCGTCCAGGTACCTTTCTTGCCTGTGCATGGTAAGGCAGTTTCATTTTACGTAAATAGGGAATATCTTTATAGAATCCCGACTGTCTTTGAATTTGCGTATTTTTTTCTTTTTATAATTCTGTTGGTTTCAGAAGACAGTTAATAGCCATCATGATTAAATTGTTCTATTTGGATATTGCATATTACATTTAAATTGATATAGATTCGATGCTACAAAGCAGATCTTGTGTCTCATTTCCTGAATTTCTCTTCCTGATAAATTTTTTGCATCTGAAGTGCGCAGGAGTTCTGTAGCGTAGGGGATGATTCTTGCCTCATTCTTTGGGATGCTCGAGTTGGCACTAGCCCTGTTATCAAGGTATCCTTCTTTGCGATCTCTTGGATTTTATGTATTTATTTTTTATTGTTGATTAGAATGCTGTTTGGATCACACTTTATGTAGTTCATTTCAGTCATGTTTGTATTGTTTTCTAATGCGCTGATATGCATGGTTCATCCTTTTATAGACATTGCCCCCCTCCATATAAACTAGTCATGGTACTTGTACAAACCCTATTTACTCTTATGCACTAGTTATTATATCCTTTTTCCCCCCCTGTCAAGTCATCTGTAAGAAATGGGATGCCCCAGGTCTCTCTGTAAGCAATGTTTCTATTGGCTAGTGAACTTAATTTGCTCTTATGTTGGCCATAAATATGTGGTTTACAGCCAGTATATGTTCGATCTATTGTGTTTAAATTCAAACCTAGAAGTTCAAGTGGGAAGCTTTCGTTTGCAAGAATCTGGAAGATATGTTGTTTATTTTTCTGCTTCTTTTTTATAGTTGTTAAATCATCTGTTTTCTTGATTGTGTTGCATTCTTAGCGCATGTGACCGTGGGTTAGATTTCTCTGGTTGGAGTCACCAAGTTTGGAATGAACCTGCTATGGGCTGTCTGTTGTGATCTTTCCAGAATGTTTTCTCATGTCAGATATACATTTTAAATTGGAGGCAACATAATTTGTCCTTCTGTCTTTTTGCGGGATTTTGTTGGCAGGTTGAAAAAGCTCAAAATGCTGATCTTCACTCTGTTGATTGGAGTCCACATGACAGTAACTTTATTCTGACTGGGTATGCCCTCAAATTTCTACCACCAGCTGCTGCATATATGTATATAATTTAGTAATCAGTCTACTGCTTTCTTTGATCCTTCTGTCTTTGTTTTCCATCTGCAACTACCCATTTCTCATTTACTGTTATCCAGTTTCATCTTTTGCGTACTTTTGGTCGAGATGTATGTTGTAAGGCGTACCATTGTGGCTATGCAGAGTCATGAAACATTTCAAATATCTTTAATGATTGTGTCAATTCTCTTCAGTTCTGCAGACAATTCTGTTTGCATGTTTGACCGACGAAGCCTCACCAGTAATGGAGTTGGCTCACATGTTCATAAATTTGAGGGCCATAAAGCTGCTGTTCTTTGTGTGCAGGTTTAGTGTCTTCTTGTCATCTCAACCGTTATTTTACTGCCATTTCTAGTCGAGGCACGTCATCTCAAAGAGTTAAGCTAACTGGTGCATTCTAAATATCTGCATCTTCTTTTGTTTCAGTGGTGTCCTGACAAGGCATCTGTCTTTGGAAGTTCTGCCGAGGATGGGCTCCTAAACATCTGGGATTATGAACAGGTAGGATTACAAACTCCCTTTTTATGTTTGTGCTTTCTGTATTCTGTTTTGAGATTGAACTCCCTTTATGGCCGGCCATTACAACCTGTTTCTTCTCTCTTAACCTTAACTCAATAAGCTGGTAACATAGTGACGGTACTAGTATACTGACCGGGTGCTTATTATCTGACATTCATGTTATATGGGCTATCAAATTATTATGTCTTTTTTTGTGTGTGTTTGTGTAAATGTATTGTTACTAATTATTAGGTATTACAAGTTTGTCTGTTCCGTTTAATACTCTTTCAATTGTGTTATTAATACTTCTTTTGATGCGTGTAGATCGGTAAAGAAACAGATGCAAAGGCCCCAGGAGCTCCTGCTGGATTGTTTTTCCAGCATGCTGGGCACAGGTTTGATACTCAGCTTTATCCTACTGAATAAGAAAGCAGTGACTTGTTTTCGAAGCTGTGTGTAAAAAGAGGTGTTTGGTAGGGGATTAAGGAAATGTTGAGTTGATGGGATGTGAGATATTGTTTAGTAATAAAAGATTAACTCATTTGATGGTAAATAGTTTGACAGAATCTGGGAATGAATTGTGTAAGGGAGATGGCTTTTGGATGTTCATGATTTAAGTGTGTTTAAGCTTCTATTCACTAAGCTGAAACCAAACACCAGCATATACTAACCTGTTTGAGATGATCGTGTCTGAATGTGTAATTAATTAGGGACAAAGTGGTTGACTTCCACTGGAACACACATGATCCTTGGACGATTGTTAGTGTGTCAGATGACTGTGAGACTAGCGGTGGAGGTGGCACATTACAGGTATGAATGCTCCACCCCTTAAAACAATAATAATGTCATTAATCAGAGCTTAGTAGTTAACAATTCGAAAACTGGGTTTGGTGCAGATATGGAGGATGAGTGATTTGCTGTATAGGCCAGAGGAGGAAGTATTGGAGGAACTTCAGACCTTCAAAACCCATGTGAGCCAATGCACAGCCAAGAACTGAAGGGCAAGAGATGGGGTAAATTCCGAATCACCGAGAGAGACATGGTCGGTCGGTCCAAGCTTTTGTGTGACAGTAGGAGGTTGCAGGACTTGGTTTAAGATGGTAGTAGTGTAAGAGCGAGCGAGAGAGGGATATGATGTATCTATTACTCTGTAGGCTTTTTCCTTCTCTGCTGACTTTAGGGCAGTGTGTTGAGTGACTAATTTGGTTCTTGATGATAGGTTAAGTTGGGGAACGGGGTTTAATATTACAGGCTGTGTAGTACAGGAGTAGCCCGTAAGATGGCCGCCAATGTCTTAAAGGTTAAAGTTTGGCGGCCTGCCGTTATCTCTGGTCCCTTGCTGCTAATAGCCTAATGCGATATGTTCTCTTAACTACTAGTTCCATTGGTCCTTTTCCCCCCTCCAGCCGAATCCTTCTTCAAGTTGATGTTCCGTGCAATATATTGCTGAGCAGCTAATGGTCTAGGGTGACATAGGTACTGGAGCCCGTCCTCGAGGGCTCGATGTGATCGTAGTATTACAGCCCGAATATGTGTTACAACTATAGTACTATAGTTTAGGTACACTAGCTTTGGTCATTTACATCACCTAGGTATTAGAGTTATCTCTTATGCAAGACTCTTAAATCATAGTCCTTCTCTTTTACCAACAATATCTTAACGAAACTTTAAATTAACATTGACATTTTAAAAAAATCACTTTGTATATGATTATTCGGGAATGGTGCGAAAGGCTTTTCATTGAATCGTGCATGAGTAGGTTCTTATATTGTGCGCAGGTTCTTATATTTCATTTTACATTCGCTACGAGCAATTTTGGCTTCTGTAATTGATTACGATTTCAAAACAATGAATTGCGATGGTATATATGAAAATTCGCCTATCCAAATCCATTACCGTTCCTGATTCCCATATACATGAAACGAAATTCTAACCTCATAGTAAAACAGACAAAGCAATCAATCACCAACAAAAGATTCCTGCAATAAAATTTTCTGTTAATTAAAATGAAAACATAGGGAACTAAACTTCCATCCTTTCCACCCCTTACCGTTTCCAATCAAAATTTTAAAGCACATAATAATTATGAGCAAATTTGGAAAATGAAGGAACAAAAAAAACTTGTGATTTGGGCGGGGTAATAATGTGTTTAGCAAACTGATCACCACAAGAATTAAATATGATTAATAATTATTTAATCCTCAAAGTCAAAGATAGAAGTGAAGATGGGGATCAGTTATTGAAAGTTTTGGTTTCCCAAAACAGGGTCATCATAATCAATCTCTCCCTACTCCTAACGTTCTTTCTTTTGGCCTAATTACTTAATTAATCGTAATTATTCACACACACATTCTCTCTCTTTTGTTGGCTTAGTAGTAGTAGTAGTTTGTCATTAGTACATCATTAAATCCACCACTTACCAACAGAATATAATATCCTCACAAACCGCAAACAAATAAAGTTAAAATAAAAAAGAAGAAGTTATTACAACTCCAATAACTGATGGTTGAAATCATGTTTACTACCAAATCTTCAAGTACTTCCTCGAATCGATACCGAGCACTTTCAAATCTTACTCAGTTTAGTTATATACTTGCGAACGCAATTCATTTGCAATTCGATGAACACCGTTGATAATGTTTGTGCCCTAACTTAATTGTCATTCTTCATCAACAACCAAAATTGTTCTGTTGGATCTAGCTAAAGCTGGCAAATGATGGTCCTTGTTGGCACGACACCAACGAAACTTTTTTTAATGGTTGGATAAATTTCTTATAAAAATTTCTTTAGGATGATGGATCTATACACGCAAGGTTGAACATGTGGTATATACAGTTGGCTCAACCAGACATTGAGACATGAAACGAGTTAAGAATTATTGCAAGCTTGATCTTCGGTTATGATTCGTGGAAAAATAACAGAAACCATTAGTTATGTCCGCAACGAAAAAAATCCAGGTAGCCAATTAAGCAAAATTAGAAGATCGGGTACCAAAAAGGATTTTTTTTTTTTAACCCAATAAAAGCCCTAGCTAGTTACCCAACTACTATCATCTCCATTTCTCCTCTCCTCTACTCTCTTAGGGCTATAAAAATTCACCTCATCATCTCACCACAACTTCCTCATTTCCCACATTCTCCATTATCCCCAACCCAAAACCTTCCTCCCCAATATTACAGTAAGATTCCAACCAAAGCTATTATCACCATTCACCATCATCCTCATCAATTTGTTACCATATTATCAAAACACACAATTTCACGCGTCGAGAATCGATAAAACTACAAGCAAGCATTGCAATGGAGGACGACTGCCACACTAGGCTGGGCCTCGGCCTGAGCATCACGGGCCCAAGTAGCCCGGCCGCGAAGCAACCGATTATTAGCAACCACAATTTTTTCCGCGACGACAGGGAGAAATTGTCGAGGAGGAAGAAGAAGAAGACGACGACGACGTCGTCTTCAGTGGCGTGTTTGGACCTCTCCTTTAAGCTCTTTCCTGGAGGAGATGACGACGACGACGACGATGAAACCGTGGCTAATGATGATGATCACGACGATAACAACGGCGTAGTGGAATTAGCGACGAAATCGTCGTCGTCAATTGATACGGAAGAGCAGCAGTACTACTGCAGCTCCGGAGGAGGGCGTAAAGCGGTGATGGATGGTAAGGAGATGGTGGGCGGCGGCGGGAGAAAGAAGCTACGGCTCAGCAAGGAGCAATCCAGCTTGCTCGAGAACAGATTCAAACTCCAAACCACCCTCAACACGGTACTTAATCGATCAAAACTTCTCCATCCTCGATTCTCAGTTGCGGATTCAGATATTTTTACCTAGAGGTGTTCTTTTACCAAAAAAAAATTATATTATAACAAGGCATTTTTTTTCATACTATGAAAAACAAAATCTATACAAGAAAATATCCAACGAGTACAATCTACAAGAATATTACAACGAACTACTAATTATAAAGTCTAGAGAACAGAAGCGCCGATGATCGGAGTGTATATGGAGGCTAGCTAGCTAGCTGTTGGGGGGTTAGTTCACATGAATTTTTCGACATACTAAGAAATGATTTGTAATATAATGAACAAATACGTTAAATTCTTTTCGTAACTGCAATGTTCAACGAATTTGAATTTGTGAGAGACTATCAACTATAATATTTTCTATTTTTAATTTCGCGTCGAACTCAAACTACTATCAATCAGGAATCGATAACTCGAACTACGACTGCAGGCACAGAAGCAGGCATTAGCAGAGCAGCTGAAACTGACGCCAAGACAGGTCGAGGTCTGGTTTCAGAACAGAAGGGCCAGGTTTGATACTACTATTTCGTTCGTTCGTTCATTCATTCATTCGTTCGTTCATTCATTCATTCATTCATTCATTCTCCCTGTACATTTCGTGACGGTACATAAAAATGTGGTCACTAAGTCATTGCATGCAGGACGAAACTGAAGCAAACGGAGGTGGACTGTGAGTTCCTGAGGAAATGCTGCGACAGCCTGAGCAACGAGAACAGGAGGCTCAAGGCCGAGCTCCAAGAGCTGCTGCGCTATGGGAGAAACGAACCATCGCCACGTGGCCAGGCCTCGACGGCGACGGCGACGTGCAGGTCCTGCCAGAAGCGAAACGTTTCGTCCAGCGGAACGGCCAGCAGCAGTGGTGCTCAACCGTATCATAGTGGTGATAATAAACCATGACACAAATAATATAGTAGATTATGGAAAAGCAGCAGTAGTAGTAGTAATAATAATATGATATTAATAGGAAGGGTTAATAATTAATTTAACGAGAGGGGAGGTTAATTAACTTTTGGTGGTCCGCAACAGTAATAAATTTTATGATAATAATTATAAGTTTTTAATGTATATTTTGTGTTGGTCGTAAGGTCTACCATAATTAGATTAATAGAGGGGGTTTATTTTTGGGGTTTAGGGGGACGGTTTGGTAAAAAGGATACTTATTATACCTTCAAGATTTATTAGTCTCTTAATTACGTAGCTAAGCGGCCGTTCGATGGCTGTACTTCGCACTTCATAATTACGTCGTCAGTTATTATGAATCCCCTAACCAATATTGATTAAAAAAAAAGGTGCGAATTTAGATGTGTTTATGATTTTTCAATAATAACGAGTGATTGAGATTAAATGATTTTTTTTTTTTGCATGGTATCGGTTTTTTATGATCGAGAGCTCGCTGCTCGAGTGTTTGAATCTTGACGTCCCTCATGTTAAGCACATGATATTTTGAGCCGTGCAAAATTCAAGCTCATATATATGAGTTGATTTTGGTTTAAGGAGACATGTTAGTAAACATCAATGCAGTCAAAAGCGCGATTCTAGCTAAAGGCGGAAAATGGGTAAAATTATAAAGCGTAGAATCAAACTGTAAAAGCGTAAGTTTTTATGCATACTGAAAAAAGCTAAAAATCTATTTAGTACGACATATACTATGTAAAATATGAGTGAGCAGAATTTAATTAAGTTAATAAATACATGCAATTCATGTCTAAAGTAGGGATGAAAATAATATCCGTAACCGTGGATAGCCGCCCGAATCCGACTTAATTGGGTAGGGTAAAACCCGAACCCGAATGAATTTTAGTGGGTATGGGTAAAACCCGAACCCGAATATTATGGGTAATGGGTGAGCATGGTTTTCTCACTATCCAACCTGAACCCGCCTGATTATACACATGCATATGTACTTTGTCTAGAAATAATCAATTTTTTCTATAAAATATTTTATATTTAGCATATAAATGTAATATTTTTATGAAATTGTAATGTTTTAATTAATTTTCTTCATTCTAGTGAATTACTGTCGTACTTTTCGTCTTACATGACGTGAGAATACGTGTGAATATTAACATATTGGTTAGAGTTATAAAGAGAAACTATTACCCATGGATAACCGTGGATACTCGAAACCCGAACGGGTATGTGCATGGTTTGGATTTTCTACCTGTTTCTTATGTGGGTAAGGGTAAAACCCGTACTACTTTGGATAGGGTAACGAATATGGACTATCCGTCCCCGATCCGACCCATTTCCATCCCTAGTCTAAAGTAAATAGCTTATAGCATCTTAACAATAAGTTCATAAACATAGATCTTAATAATAGAATGTCGTTTATAAGGGGTTTCTGGGTAGTTTTGTTTGTATAATTCTTGTCTTCTCTTGATATCACTCGGAAATAATAAAAAATAGATCTTAACAATAAGCTACATTCCCCTCTATGCTAATGAATTGAGGAATAGACTAGGTGGTGAATTAGATTACTCGATAGAAGCTGAGAATGCATCCAAGTATCTGGTAGGTATCTTTTAATCTCAAATGTATCATATTGCTAGTGATTTACCTTTAAAATATAATTTTTATAATTAAATTCATGAAAAGAATACCCATTGGGGAACTAGAAGCATAAAGGATTCTGGTGAACTAGAAGCGTAAAAGCATAAGATTTAAGCTCTAAAGCGCAAATTAGTATGATTGTACACAATAAAGATTTTATATGGAAACGAAAGCGTTTTGGTGTCCTAGAACCATAAAATTATAAGCTTTTAAGTTTTAAAGTGTGATTTTGACTACATTGCTAAACAGTATAAGATCCATAATTGACCTTCTCCCAACAAGTCGAGCAATTAGGATTTGGGACAAAATGATTTTAGACACAACCCACCTGCAAATAACTAGAATTGATGAGAGTGGATCATGTGACTAGGGATGGCAACAGGGCCAGTTCAGGCGTTCAGGGTATGGATAGTGGATATCCATTACTCTTATTAACTGGTTTGAGTTTTATCCATAATCATATATGTACACCGATTCGAGTTATAAATCGTATATATGTTTTGGGGTTTGGTTATCCATGAATATCAACAAATGATAGTATTTCTTTATTGTCTTATCCAAGGTTTTACAATTTGTGAGTGGGTTCACATTATACATACAACTGAAAATGTTAAACTATAAGTCGGTAATATTACGATAAATGAAAAAAGTATTCACGGGGGTGTTATATATCTATTACAAATGTCGAATATATTGAGAGATAATATAAACTTATATGAAAATATAGATATGCATCTATAATCGTCGATTTTATAGTAGGAAAAACATGACGCCTATAATTTATAATATTCGTGTTCGAATTCTATCAATACCACCAATATTAATTTTGCTTAGGTTTTACCATATTTAATCGTGTCGGATTCGAACGGTTAACCATGTTGGTGGATACTTCTCCCATATAAATTGGTAGATCTGTTAACCACACTTTTAAGAAGCATGTTGAGTGGATCGAGTGTCAGTCAATGGCAGCACCCCACTTTACCATGACAAAAGATTGTTTCATTTTTTTTTTGGCAAAATACACATGTGTAGCCAAAACTTTGACGGTTTGGCCAAATATAACCACTTTGGGCGAAATAACAAAAGTAGCCAATTCCGTCCAATTTTTTGACGGTGTCATCTAATATTTTGACTGGACTAACGGAAAAGCTGATGTGGCAGCATTTTGTAAAGTAACCTTGCCATGTGGATTTAACTTTAAAATATAAAAAATAAAATTGAAAATGAAAAGTCTCCCTCTCTCTCTTATCTTCTCCGATCCCATCTCCTCCCCCTTATCCCTGTACAATCTCTCTTCCACCGCCGCACAAGTGCTTTCGATCTCTACATACATCGGTACATGAGTACATTGATGCCACTGATTCTCCTATCGAAGAAGAAGCTTCATCAACATGAGCTCACTTCTTTCCCCGATTCTTCCCTTTCGATGGGAATGCCACCCGTAGTTCAAGACCTCGAACTGAGTCCATCTTCCTTCGATTCCTTCTCTTTGCCGCTTAAGTCTTGACTCCCGGAAGGAACCCTAAGCAAGAATAAGTTGTTGGACTGGTCGAGCTTCACTACAGCCTCGTCTTTCTCCACCGACCACTAGATGTCGCCACTTATTCGACAAAATGCCGCAACGACGGTTTTCACCTGTTTGAAGGTAACTATGTCCAGATCCCCGCAAGCCAGCTCCAAACTATGGTCTTTCTCGGTCAATTGGGCTATGGCGCTCGGGATTCTGATCAAAAGCTCCTCGTGTGGAGCCGGCTCTGCCAGTGTTGTTATCCGGGAAGAGATTCTGGGCGAGATCGGGCATGTCGAACATCCGAGTAAAAAGACGAGGTGGAGGGAGCAGAAGAGGAAAACTTTGCCCAATGGGTCTTTCGAGGTTGGAGAGAATTACTTCCGGGTAGAGGGATTTTTGCCGTGAAACCTCCATTTTTCGCAGGAAAGCTACGATCTTTGGAAACAGATTGATCGATTGGATGGATTTGAGTTGATAGAGGAAGTTGGAAGCCTCCTCTTCTTTCCACTTGATTCTCCTCGTTCAGCACTGTAGCCGCTGGCTCCTCATTGGGAAAGATGATTAGACCTATAGGTCGGCGTTGTAGCTGTTGGCTCCTCTTATCTCGATTTGCTTCATTCCCTTTCCCCATTATCGTCTGTCGGCCGAGGCGACGATGCAGAGTTCGAAGATCTTGGCGAAATTGCTAGCTGGCCGCAGGTACATATGTGTTTGTGGGTGCAATTGCTTCTGAAATTTGTAGATAGGCCAGCTTGTGTAGAAGACGCACGACCAGTTGTAGTCTTGTAGAAGACGCCAGTGATGGTGTGAGAGGATTAAGGATGGCAGCATCGAGTGGTGGGAGAGGCAAGAGGGTGAGAAAATAATTTATGATATTTTTTATTTTTTATTTAATTAAAATATGACATGGTATCCATGTGGCTAGTGTTGTTAAGTTGTCGATGATGTGTCCTGTGAGTTGGCAGCCAGATAAGCATGTCGTTAATTTAACTAACAGTGTCACTAACGCCGTTAAAATATGTAACGGAAATGGCTATATTTGTCACGAAACTTTCAAAATTCTGGCTATATTTGGTATTTCGCCAAAAGTGGCTATTATTGTCACAAACGTGAAAGTTTTGGCTACACAGATGAATTTTGCCTTTTTTTTAACAATCATCCTTAAAAGGTCAAATCAAAAAGACTCATACAATAAAAACATCAAACTCGATAATCAATCAATAGTTGAACTATTGAAGAATTGTTTCTTTTTTATATGAGTAAATACAAATTATTAGCATAAGCCTTTCAAAATTTTCAAATTATTATTCAAACCTTTTGAAATATAAAGAATTAACCAACAGTGGCGGATGCAGGGGGTGGCCACTCCGGGCCACGGCTCAGCCCTCCTCTGGATCCGGAGCTAATATAGCCTTTGTGAATTTTTCGATTTAGGCATTTGGTCGAGTGTTATTTTATAATAAGATTGTTTGTAATTAGAAAAATAGTTTAGATGAACATATTCAAATCACTACTATAAATTTAGCTTAGAAATTCTAGTCTCAAAGACTTTGGTCTAAAAAACAATGAAAACTAAATTCTAAAAGTCTAAAGCGTAAAGGACTAAAAGAAATATAAGGTTTGTTCCTTTGAAAAATTACTAGAGCAACTGGTGGATATAGGAATGAACACACAATGCAAATTGATTAGTCGATTGATTTGTTTAGTGTTGATGCTGCCTGTTTCAGTGACTACTACAGAGAGAACTTTTTCAACAATGAAACATGTGAAAACTTATTTGCGCAACAAAATGAGCGATGAATTTCTCGCCAATTACTTAGCTATTTTATTTTAAACATAGTATGTCATTGGTATGGATGTAGACTCCATTATTGATGCATTCGCTAAATAATTAAAAGACCGTCGTGTACAATTGACATTGTAAAAAAAATTTAATAATAATTTTTTTTTATTCTATCTAATTTTCTAATGAAATGCGGCCCAGTGTTCTACTATGTTCTAGATCCGTCGCTGTTAATCAACCATTAACAATGCTAATTTGGCAACGTGATGTTGAGTTAAAAGACGTGTGACGATTAACGTTTCAAATTTTAAGTATTTTAGTTAAGAAAATATGTAGATTAAATACACTTTATTAGCCAAACATTTCAATATTTTTAAAATATTAGCCAAACTTTTTAAAATACAAAATATTAGTCAAACCTATAATGACTCATTTGTTGTCGTCAACAATATTATTAACGTAGTTTTTCATCAACCTCTACATGGTCTCCATGCCAGATATCATTAAAAAATATATCATATTTATTTTATTATTAAAAATAAAAAATAAATCGAATTAACATTTAAATCGAACCATATCAGAACAAACCGATCCGATTTTCAATAATAATCTGATGGACCGGACTGTTGCACTACACACCTTGCCAAGTGGGCTAAGATCAGGTGACTAAGGGGGGTCCCTTAGTCACATGACTAAGTAAATCTCAGCCCTTCCATCTCATTAAAATCTAATGGCTACAATTAATCTACTTTAATGAAGAGCAAAACTGTAAGTTCATGATTATTTTTATTTTTAATTATTAAATAATTTTTTCCGGCTCTTCTCTCCCTGCCGTCCGTCTCGTTTCTTTTTTTTCCCCCATCCGCCATCGCCGACCAGGGAATTCCATCGCTTGTGCGGTAGAGAGAGAGAGAGAGTTTTCCGGCGACCGGAGGAGATTTCCCGGCGACTGTTGGATTTTGTAATGTTTGTATAGATTCGGTTTGTATTGTTTGTAATTTTTAGTGACATTTTGTACGGTTAGTATGCTTTGTACTGTTTGTCGGTTTATATTGTAATGTTTGTACGCTTTGTTATTTAGTAATGTTTGACGGGTTTTTTTGTAATGTTTGTAAACTTTGTTATTTTTGTGCACCATGTTTATCATTTTTGTCAACCATGTTTGTAATGTTTTTTATGTCTAAAAAACAACCTGGTTGACTTTTGGATGGAACTCCTCTATATAGGGATGAAGCCTCCAAAGTCAACCCGAGTGTTTTTTCTAGTTCGTATGGATTGTCGGTCTAGTTTGTCATTTTTGTCCACCATGTTCGTAATGTTTGTATGTCTAAAAAATAACTGGGTTGACTTTGAGACGGAGCCCTCTATATAGGGATGAAGCCTCCGAAGTCAACCCGGGTGTTTTTCCAGTTTGTATGAATTTTTGGTCTAGTTTGTCATTTTTGTCCACCATGTTCGTACTGTTTGTATGTCTAAAAAACACCAGGGTTGACTTTGGGAAGGAGCCCCTCTATATAGGGATGGAGCCTCAAAAGTCAACCCGATTGTTTTTTCTTTTTGTATGGTTTGTATTGTTTGTTGGTCTAGTTTGTATTGTTTGTACAGTTCATACGTTTGTAATGTTTGTAAATCTGTTTGTATGTTTTGTCGCTCTAGTTTGTACTGTTCGTATGTTTGTATGGTTTGTACTGATTGTAAATCCGATTTGTATACTTCGTAATTTTTTATAATACCCAAACTACTCATGCCAATAATTAAATGGTCCTTCCCACTTTTTAACCATCAGATTGCTATATCCAGATCTAAGGTCAGGAAGGAGCTTAGTCAGTCACCCCTTTAGTCACTGGATCCTCTCTCCTTGCCAAGCTGCCCCCATTACCAACTCTCCGCTCATTTCTCAGCTCGTAGCGCATCCACCTGGAAGCTGGACCAGTTCGTCGTCGGCGATAATTTCTAGCTACAGAAGTTCACACTTCTACTTCATCAATGGCGGCAAGAGTTCGAGCGTCGTCGATATTCGCAGCTACAGCAACTCTGGCAATGATCGCCGCTGCATCCTTCAGCTGGCCGTCAGCCTCTGCCGCTTCTACGGCATCTACTTTCGTCAAGGAGACCATCAAATCCCACCAGATCGTCATCTTCTCCAAATCTTATTGCCCGTAACTTCAATTCCAAAAAACTGCGCCTTTTCCCCAATTTTCCATCTCATTTGTCGTGCTCTTAAGATTCTCTCTCGTTTCCGCGTGAACTTTGTGATAGATATGCAATACCCAGGAACTGACTTTGATGATTACGATATCGCGGATCTGATTCCTGTTCGGGGGGGGGGGGGGGGAGCTGCTCTGGTTCGAGCTCGTTTTCTCCGTCATGTCCTTTTTTGGGCCTTTACATAGTGTAGTTTGTGTGATGGCAGGAATGCCTTTCGATGGAGATCTTGCTTCTTTCAATGGTTTAGTTGCTAAAGCTGATACTGCTTATTGATGTTTGTGGTATGTTGCTTGTTGCTTGGCAGATATTGTAGGAGGGCTAAAGCTGTTTTCAAAGAGTTGAACCAGACGCCATATGTGGTTGAGCTTAATGAGAGAGGTGAGTTAACAGATATATCTCAATTACAATCTGTGCTTGTAATCTGTGCTTGATGAATCATAAACAGACATGCTTGTGAAAGATATGTGTAGGAATGCTATAGCTGATTGATTGATCCATTTGATTTGAAACACGATAGTGGGCAAGATAGTGGTGCTAAATTAGACAGGTTAAAGAAAGACGGTAACCCTGCCACAATGCTCGAATAGCAGAGAAACAACAGGCTTTGCAAGGGTAGGAGCTCTGGCTAATGTTTGGCTTCCCACATTGGGAATCTGTGTCTAGTGAGTAGTCGAATTGTAAACAAATTTGCTTTTATCTTGTGCGAATCTGAAAGTTATAGAATCTTATGATCTTGCCTGTAGAAATCAAAGTAGAATCAGGGTAGAAATCAACACTTCTATACCAATCTACTGAGTCCTTATGATTTGGTCCTAAAAGTTTTAACAAGTTATGTTCATTAGGCATTTCAAATGGTTATGGCTGATGTATTCACTGCAAAAGCTACATTTTACTGATCTATGGAGCCCTTACCGTACTTATATGTCATATGATATACAATTGACCTATCATATGTAACATTCAAATTTGTTTTTGTGCTTATATAACTAGCAACGTTCTATTAAGAATGCTTATACTTGACGAAGTTGATTGGTCAATGTTGATTAATGATGGCTTTTTATGTGATCAATAACATCCTATGATTCTAATATTCGAGTTTATGATCCCAATCTTTTGTAGGACACTGAATTTACATTGAATCTATAGTCTGACACTGACTAACACTTCTAGGAGCAGGATCTAGAGATTGGTCCATATTTTGTTTGAGAAACCTGACTGCATTCACTAGTCTGCCTTGGTCTTCATTCTTCAATAATGACTCTCACTATCTTGCCTTGTCCTCCCATTCCTAGACCCATATGTATATCATAAAACCTATGCCCAGATTTTTCTGGAGGTCCATTACTCTATAATCAATCCCAGCAGATGGCTCCGATAGTTTTCCGTCGATAGCAATTGTCAAAAAAATACACCATGACAAGTGTCGTCAGCTCACTGGCAATACTAGTCCCGTGAGAACTCGTTATCAGTAATTATAGAGTACAAAGTAACGTCTCAGTTAATTCCGAGTTCATAGTTTCACATGCTTAAAACATTGTTGGGATAATATTAAACTTTTCTTGTTGACAGATGATGGGCAAGACATCCAGGCTGCATTGGGTCAGCTCGTGGGGAAACGAACTGTACCTCAGGTTTTCATCAACGGAAAGCACATTGGCGGCTCTGATGGTAGTTCCCGATGTTCCTCAACTTCATTACCCTTGTAAATGCTCATGCTGTCTCAAAATTCAGTAGAGACCTGACTTCTTATTCTCTCTTGCTTTAACAGATACTGTTGAAGCATATGAGAGTGGTGAACTGGCTAAGCTTCTGGGCATTGATGTGGACGAGAAGGAGGATATGTGAACTAATACTCTGCATCCAGAGGGTTTATATGGGTATCTGAATCCAGCTTGGTACGTGCAACCAAGGATGTTCCTATCTATGAATAGAGGCTGTTTGTTGCTCGACATCCTGACTAAATAGTTGCAACCAGAAGTGAGTTCTAGTCAGTGTTGTCTTACTATGTTAGCTATGAGAATTGACTGTAGACTTCGTAATGGAAAACGAATCAGGTACTGCTTGAAAGTTTGATAGAGGATCTTGAATGACATCCCTTTGACCGTTGTATGAACCTATGCATGATCTGATTCACTTCCATCAATCATCAAACATTACCTGCAGAAATTCGGACGCTGTTTATCTTTAGTGGATTGGTTATGCTGCTGATGGCCAGGATTTTTTTTAAGGGTTGGAGTACTGGCTTATGAGTTATGTCCAAGATGGCAAGATCCATTAGTTTGGAAGCTCTGCGTCGATCCTTGGTGATTGGTCAAAGTTGATGGAAGTTCAGATATGCTACTATTGTGTCTATGCTCGGTTTGTTTTGTTGTCCAATCTATCTCTAGCCCATTTCGGACCAATTGGTTGAACCGCAATCTGCAGCCTAGCCCGATCTTTTTTTCTCAAAGAAACGCTTGATTGTGAAAGTTATGGCTATATGTGCTATCGAACTTTCAAGCAGTAAATCTTGTCTTGCTAGTTGCTACTACTAAACTAAGTAAAACTTTCAAGCTCAACCAAGATCTACCGACCTACTGCAACAGCCATGTAAATGTAGAACACAACCCAGTAATTGCCGTCTGGATAATTAATCCAACTGCAACTGCAACCACAACAACGCGGAGGTCGTCTGGGAAAAAGAACCACTCGAAACTATCATCATCAAGGTTAAGAAGAAGTTCTGGATCTCATTACCAAAATACTCTAATTTAGCTGGTTACATTAAACAAAATTTTCATCAGTTCTACTGGGAGTAAATTTCATAGATAGTCTAAACATAAAAAGGATATTATCATATATAGTCTAAACATCAAAAAGATATTATCATAGATAGTCTAAACATAAACGCCAGATGCAAGTAGCAGGAACAAGGATCCAAAACCCTGCAAACAAAGAGATATTAACAGGAGAATCAGCAATTTGACACAAAGGTGACATAATTGTGATTGCAAGCCATGTCAAGATCAAAAGAAACCCAAGCAACAGAGGTCTTACCAGAAAGAAAGATGCCAGCGCTCCTGTGGTCAGTTCTTTCGGAAGACTGCGGGTTTTTCTCGAGGATGTGGCTTCATAGCTGGATAAAAAGAACAGATTGACAAGAAACATAAGAAACCATGTGAAATGAGTTTGAAAAGGAATGACTGAATGCTATTTAAGGGGGGTAACACATTTTTCAGTGAGGAAATCATCTACTAGAGTGAGCGAAGCCATAGGGGGAACTTAAACAAGACACATTATCAAGCAAAAACACACTGACAACAACTCTTAACGTATATCGCACATGCCCTTCCTAGTACCAAGCTTCACATTCAGTCAACTAGATATGCCGATACAGGTGACAGATGGAAGAGAAATGTGAGGAATGCAATGACACTTCATAACATCCTAATGCGACAAATGGCAGAAAGGAAAATTTCATCAGTGACCAAAAGAGATTGAAGAAGCTACCAGGCAGCACATTCAAGTAAATTCATCACCACACAGTTACCCATTTCGAATCCAGAAACATTCAGAGATAACATCTGAGAGCATTTCTAGAGCTACAGAGGGTGCACTGATTGTCTCTCGACCAACAGAGTCAACGAAATGCCCAGGCGTTCCTGTCGATTGGCATTACCCAATCGAGCTGATAGTAGTAACACTAAAACCCTAAAGCGAAGGATCCACAGTGGCAATTGTCATAAGATCGAATTGGAAACTATTTCGCAATCATCGGAAGGCCCTACAATTCTCTCCATGTTCCAATCCACAGAAGGAAACTGGAACTTGCTAAATCCAATAAATTCCTTAACGCGCAGTTACCATTTTGGATCCAGGAACATTCAGAGATAACATTTGAGAGCATTTCTAGAGCTACAGAGGGTGCACTGATTGTCTCTCGACTAACAGAGTCAACGAAATGCCCAGGCATTCCTGTCTATTGGCATTACCCAATCGAGCTGATACTAGTAACACTAAAACCCTAAAGCAAAGGATCCACAGTGGCAATTGTCAAAAGATCAAATTGGAATTATTTCGCAATCATCTGAAGGCCCTAAAATTCTCCCCATGTTCCAATCCGCAGAAGGAAACTGGAACTCGCTAAGTCCCAGAAATTCCTCACCACGCAGTTACCCATTTCGAATACAGGAACATTCAGAAATAACATTCGAGAGCATTTCTAGAGCTACAGAGGGGGCACTGATTGTCTCTCGACTAACAGAGTCAAATAAATCCCCAGGCGTTCCTTTAGATCAGCGTTACCCAATCAAGCCAATACTAGGAAGGCTAAAGCCCTAAAGCGAAGGATCCACAGTCGCAATTGTCATACGATCGAATTGGAAATTTGTTAGACAATCATCCGGCGGCCCTAAAATTATCTCCATTTCCCAATCCACACAAGGAAAAGCTAAGGGAAACTGGAGATCAGGATCATCGAACTCACATGAAGAAGGAAGCTGTGATGAGAAGGCCGATGGAGAGCATGAAAACTGCTAGGGTTGGGTACCAAGTGATCGGGACTGGGGCAGTGACCGGCTTCGATGCCTGAAAACACACAAGATATTCGATTTATCATAGCGCAACTTGAAATGCTTGAGCTCGGATCGGGCCGAGTCAGTGAATCGGGGAATCGGAAATGGAAGAATGGATCAGATCGAGGGAGACTCACCATTGCTGCTGCTGCTGGTGGCGGAGAAGGGGAGTGAGGGGAAGCGCGATTCTGCCTCTGGATACGGAGAGTGAAGTCACGCGCTGCGTTGACAGAGAGTCGGAGTTGCAAACTTGCAATATCGTTTCGTTTTTCAGTTTATATATGTCAGACAGATGGGTTAATTGCAAAATGAGCCACTTAAGTTTTGGTGTAATTCCATGGTGGCCATGTAATTGCAAAACCAGTTTATATCATTGCGCGCTGGTTTAACAAATGCAATGGATCCACCAATGGTACAACCGGTTCATGTATGTTTAACAAAATATGCAGAAATGTGAATACCATTAACATTATGAATTTAATTAATATATAAAACATATTTGAAGACAATTTACGTACACTTCATATTTATATTAAAATAAAAAACGACATTCCAAATAAAATAACAAACACTCATATTTAAATACAACATTTAACGTCAATATCTACAAAATACATGGATACTCAGGATACGTTTAGAATCAGAATGTTACAAAGGAAGCCTTATTTTGAAACTTTCTCATGTACTCTCTCTAGGCTCAATATAGTTATGCTGCTCACAGCATAAGTTGTGAGTATATACTCACACGGGCAGATTGTTGTACACTTGCAGTTGATCTTAACTGTAAAAAAATACTCTAGGCTGATTGGAATGAAGGTGATCTTAACTGTAAAAAAATAACCCAAAGAGAAAAACAAAATTCTGTACACTTGCAGTTGCTCTACTTCACAGTTTTACATGGATTGTTACATTACATGTGCACCCCTCAAATCAAATCAAAGGGGTTAAATTACTATTTGGTACCTGGACAATGATAAAAACATTCAAGTTTGATTACCCTCCACTTTGACTGTGTTATTACTCAGGGTCAAAACTCACTTGCTGTCATAACCACCTCCATCCTCCAATTCTGCACTTCTTTTCAAGTCTCCTTGTCAAAGATTTTCTTCAAAACTTATTTCACCATTCATTCCTCTAGCCTCCTCCTAGAAACTGTGCATATTAATCAATATTCACACATAAACAAGGGTTGTCTAGTCCACAGCTTTTCAATATGAACCTGCCCATTGTTTGAACATGATCCCATGTTCACTCACACTCTCCCCTCTCAATCTCCTCATTCTCTGCCACCACTCTCTTCCCTTCCCACTACTCAATGGGCCAGAACTCGAGTACCTCCTGAACGACGCGGATGTTGGTGCCTGCCTCCCGAATCTTCCTGATGTACCGAACATATCTGACAGCGTTAGCCCTCTCTCGATATCCGGATCAGAGTCGTAGTTGCTCGGCCCTAACCCCAATCTTCGGTCATGGAACATCTCCGGCACCAGCTTCCCTGAGGTGGTCCTCGCCTCGCCACCATCCATTGACAAATCACGGCTGGAGCTTATAGATCCTACTTCTTTCGCCTCATCGCACTCGTTGCACACCAGTTTCAACGCTTGAACAACTTCGCCCATGAATGGGCGATGGGACACTTCTGGCTGCACACACATTGAAGCAATGGCTGCAACTTTGGCCACACTGTCGAAGGGGACATCGTGGCGAAGAGATGGATCTATTATCATTTCCAACCCTTCTTGGCTTGTCAGAAGCGGACGTGCCCATGCTACTAGGTTCTCTTGACCTGGTGGTTGTGACATATCCACCGGTTTTCTCCCGCTTAAAAGCTCAAGAAGGACTACACCGTAGCTGTATACATCGCTCTTCACTAGAAGATGACCGGTCATTGCATACTCAGGGGCCACATACCTGTTTTTGAATGATTACCAAGTATGTTTGTTATCATTATCATGCATCTTTCAACTAGTGTGACCAAGGTTCTAGTAGAGTTGCAACAATGAAAGGCATGAAAGAGGAATTCTTACCCAAAGGTTCCCATCACACGAGTGGATATATGGCTGGTTTCCTCATCCAGCGCAGATCGTGCCAACCCAAAGTCGGAGACTTTTGGTGTGAAATCACTCTCCAACAAGATGTTGCTGGATTTGAAATCCCTGTGGATGACCCGTGGACTTGAATCCTCATGAAGATAAGCCAGACCTCGAGCTGCACCAAGTGCTATCTTAATCCGGACATCCCAATCCAGAGGTGCAGATTCCTTATCGTCCCCTAATAAGATAACAACAAAGGAAACGTGGAGATTAATGTCAAGTAAATCACCTAATTGGTTACTAGCTCAAACCTACTTAAATGGAACTAGCTGTACCATGCAAATGAGATTCCACACTGCCATTAGGCACTAGCTCATAGACCAGACAACGTGCATGCTCTTCTGTGCATATCCCAATCAACTTGACAAGGTTCCTGTGGTGAAGGCGGCTAAGCATCTCGACTTCTGCCAAGAATTCTCGACCACTTTGCTGGTCGTCCCTTTTCAGGACTTTGACTGCTACTTGGGTCCCATCATCAAGAACACCACTATAGACACGTCCGAAGCCACCTTCCCCGAGTGTCCTTGAATCATCAAAGTTATGAGTTGCTCTCTCTATGTCACTTGCACTGAAGGTTTTGGCAGATCCCGTATATGGTGCAATACTAGAGCCAAATGACAGTGAATGAGAACTGAGACCACTCCCAAGGGCTGACACAGAAATCCCTGCAATAGTATCACAGCATCTCAGTGTAAACTTCCTGCTTTTGGTATTAACAAGAAGGGAAAGATATTAATTGTCGTGCACGCAAGGCAGCACCTGAGGGTTTTGCAACAGAAGCACGCAAAGGTGGGGGAGCTGGCGATGGCTCTCTGCCATGATGGCCTCTCTTCCTAGAAATAAAAATCCAAGCAACTGCCGAGCAAAAGATGACAACAATAGAAGCTGACAGAGCAATAATAGCAATGACAGCACCATTAAGTCCATCCTTTTGGCGCCTTTTGGATACATCAACTCCTAGGGGCTTTATCGTTCTTGCGTTGTTTCCATTGCCAGAGTATGGCCCATCATCAATGATAGTAATCCCAGAAGATGCTGAAGGAGGAGATTCCGGTAAACCTACATAGTGCACATCATTATTAGATAATGTAGCTAGAGCAATGCTAGAAATTTAGTAGACCGAACTCTAAAGCTTCTACCTGGATAGCGCACATAAAGGACTTGGTAGTCACCAAATAAGGAAGTTTGTATTGCCACTTGTTTCAGCCAAAACCTTTGGTAAGTCAAGAAAGCAGTTGTGTTGTCAAACTTTTGTCCAAGTGGAACCAAGTCAATGAGGACTATGGTCTTGTCAGGTTCCTGGCTAGCAGCATTGGCTCCCATAATCCTGACTTGACTTTGTTTCATGAAAACCCCAGTAGCAAGTTCTTTAGCGAATTCAGAAACCAAAGGAAAAAATGTATATAGTGCAACACTAAGTCGCAGTCCGACTTGCATGGGCAACACACATCCACATGGAGATCCGGGAGGAGTGTTTGCATAAGGTTCCATGCAAACAGTCGTTGAACAATCTACACGATACCATCAAATTTTATGTGTTACTACAGCAAGTAGGATGGAAATATCACCAAACAACAACAGCAAAATGACCATATTGTATAACCTTGATTGGGTGGCGGAGGTGGCAATGCATGGATTGGCGGAAACAAGGGCATAGGATTCTTTGATGAAGATCTCGGAGAAATTTTTGGTGAAAGAATCGGTACTATAAAATGTAACGAGAAGCAAAGGTAAGGTATCCCATTGATGACACATGAATTCAAGAGCTTGAAGAGTTTGGATTGACTGCAATAGGGAAAGAGGGTAAACAGTATTACTTGTGGTCCAGTTAGATGCTGCTGTCTTTGATGGTGAGGGGGCAAGTGGAACACCTATAACTGGATTAGTACCTGTAGTACATGAACCAGATTAACAACTAAACCTGTTCTCGAGATTGTACAGATTAAGTCTTCAGTATTTACTACCTGTATGGTGAGGTGGAGAAGCATAGTGTGTGGGCCTGCTAGTTGGAAGAGATGAGGGAGGGAGTGCTGGACGGGGAATAGAAAGGAAAGAAGGAGAAAGCAGTTGGTAAGTTGGACATAATAAATTCAAGTGGATGGTAAACCATAAAACTACCGTCTCACACTCTTTTAAAATTTGATAGGTAGAAATCTAGACCTGGCTCTTCTGATGAGTGAGGAGGTATAACATATGATGATTTGGGAGGAGCGATGCTGCTTCCATTTCTTGCATTGTTGTGTTTATGAGAAGAGGTAGAAGACGGAGAAGGAGCTTTATTCGAATGCCGCCAAGCTTTGTGAACAGAAGGAGCCACAGCAGGAAAAGAAGCTGAAAATGCCAATACATTGTTAAGTTACTCTCCCATCTAGTAATAATTTTAAGGGCAGGGTAATTTACTTATTGTCCTTTCACCCTTGTGTGACGGGGTTTGCAGAACCTATACCTTTAGCGGGTGCATGAGTTGTAGGTGGCAACACTGGTAAGGGCTTTTGTATTTCAGCCGAGGGTGCAGTAACTGGAGTTCCATCTTTTGTCCAATGAGTCCTTGGAGGAGTAGATGATGGAGACGAGACCTCAGGATCTGCAACAAGACACAAGTATGATATCTAAATTTAAAATGCTGCTTCTTTGCCAAATATCTATAGATTTCGCTCAGCCATAACAGCATCTACAGCCAATTATAAGAAATATTTCCAGAATGAAGGAAAATCGTCAACGGAAAAAAAAAAAAAAACCTTCCAATCTTGGAGGAGATTTCATAGGAGCAACTGGAAGATTTCTTGACGAATTATGTGGCAAATCTCCCAAGGGTGACTGAACTGGAATGGGACAAAATAACCTGGAACTGGTCAATTTGGGCAGTTTGAAAAGAGAAGAAAAATTAGTCAAATGGTACTCTAAATGAATAAGGCACACACCTGGGGAGACAGAGGGGATAATGACTGCTGGTGCGATTGGATGTTGCACTGGTTTCTCCCTTCCCAATATCCTCGGAGGTAATGCCACTGCTGGCCATATACAGGGCAAACAAATTCAAGAGATCAAAATTCTTTGTTACCAAACTGAACTTCAGTCTTCAGGTATTGTGATATTCAGCAACACACTGCTTTTCATACCTGGAACTGGTTTTTGGAGAGGAGAACCATTAAACGTTGTGTTTTTCTGAGGAGCACTCCCGGTCGAAGGTTCTGGCACACCTGGGTGGATGGACGGTAGACTTGGTGGTGAATTAGCTGGAGGTGTTGCCACTGGAAACAGATATGGTAAGATTTTCCGAACCACATTCAAACTTTGAAATTACTAGCATTCCACCATGACTAATGTCCAAGAATCTACCAACCTGGCATAGGGGCAGGAGCCTTTTCACCCGGCTCCCGTTTTCCAGGACTGTTTGATGGCGTTGGTGCTACTTGTCGTTCAAAATTCCGAGGTGGAGGAGCTATACTATTATGTGGTGGAGGCACCAAGGAGACTCCTCCTCCAGAACTGCTCGGTGGTGAAGGTACAGGTTGTCCTTGAGAAGTCTGGGGGGGAGAAACTATACTCTTTGGGGGAGGTGCTAAGGTCACATTCCCTCCATTGAAGTTTGACGGCACAGGTGCTGCTTCTCCTTGAGACATTTGAGGAGGAGGGGCTATACTATGTGCTGGGGGTCTACCTAAAACATTTCCTCCAGAAGAGTTAGACGGCATAGGTGCTGCTTGTCCTTGAGACATTTGATGAGGAGGAGGAGCTATACTATGTGTTGGGGGTCCAACTAAAACACTTCCTCCAGAAGAGCTAGACGGCATAGGTGCTACGTGTCCTTCAGAAGAGTTAGGTGGTAGAGGTGCAACATTCCCTCCAGAAATCTGGGGTGGCGGAGCGAAACTTGGTAATGGAGGTTCAAGAGAAACACTTCCATCATTAGCTTTTGATGGCAAAGGTGCTACATTTCCTTCAAAATTTTCAGGAGAAGGAGCTATTATTGTCTGTGGTATAGGTGTAAATGAAACAGTTGGAGATTCAGAAGGCACATTTCCAGAAACAACTAGAGGTGGAGGAGCAGTTCTATAAGGTGGTGATGATCCAACTGGACTAGGCTGGTAGGATGGTGCCTGCCCCGAAATTGATTCAGGGGGTGTGTCGAATGTTGTAGGCCCTGCATTTGTCGCACCAGCTTTCTCAATTTAGCTTATCCCATTCTAGCAAGAGCTAACAGTTCACAAGTTTAAGACAGTTACCATTTACATGGGACTCTGAGCTCGGTGGATTGCTTTCGAATGGCCTAATCTGATGGACTGGACTCTGAACTGCCCCTACCAACTGATTTTCGATTCTCTGAGTTGGTGATATACTGAATCCTGAAGGAGAGAAAACAAGCCAAATAGTCTCAGTTACCCAATTCAAACGAGAATTGCACTAAGAAACTTGACTATCAAGTTATATTCAGATGAGCAATAAGCCACACTTAAGACTATTAAATGCTGCTATCCAGCAACAATTTGAAGTGGCCAGTAAGTTTCCTACCTCAGCTCTACCTATTTTCAATGAAGGGAGTAAAACAAACTACTGGATCTCAAGTCGGTATGCCCTCCAATCTAACCCAATGAGAATTTCAAAGTTATTCCTTACAGATTCAATTGCTTCCCAATTGGGTGCCCACAAAACTTCTTCAATAGCAGTAGCAGCAGAAATATTTGACCAACCCAGATCATTAAAAACAGAATATCCCCATAAGGAACCAAAAAGGTAGAAGGAGAAAACAAAAGAAATGGCAACAACCAACCACCACCAAGAGCCTAACTGCCTAAGAAAGAAAGAACAAAACTTTCATTTCCAAATTTAGACAAATCAGGCTGAAACAAATAAGAGGTGACGAGTATGGAATTTCACCTGTAGATCCTTGGATGGTGAAAATCAAGCTGATGGCACAGAGCTTCACCAGCTGCAACAACAACCGACTGGTGACAACAAACCCCATCCCACAAACAGCCACACACAAAATTCCGAAATCTCTATTGGCGGGAGGAGATTAATCAGCTACAAATGCTGTTGGCAAAAGAGAGGCAGAAAGAAGTGTGTCTTTCTGCACAAATACAAAATGAAACAGTGTTTGCTTCAAGATTACTCGAAGCAAGAAATAGTGGAAGCCCTGGAAACATCGATAGAAAAGCAAATGGGGGTGTTTAGAGAAGGACCCAGAATTGGTTTGGTGAAAATGGGGCAGGAAAGTGCTTGTCTTTGAAGTTAAAGCTCTCAAATTTGCAGAGCTTTTTGAGATTGGCGGGTGGGAGAATAAGAGACCGTGGTTTTCCTGACATGGGGTTGTGAGATTAAGAGCAGTAATGAGTATTGGAACTGGGAGCCGGCCCTTAAACCAGCAGACTGAGTCCGTGATTGAGTTTTGAGGGATGGTGATTAATGGAGGAGAAAGAAAGAAGGCAGATTCATGGTGGGGTGGCAAAATAACAGGGAGGACAGAAGAGAGGAGAGGAGAGGGAAAGAAAAGGTGAGAGAGTGGTAGTTTGTGGTTTGGACTGTGGGACACCGGGACTTGGGCCACAGTGACAAGACAGCAAGATTTCAACCATATTTCTTCCTTTTTTTATTTTCTTATAATACAAAAACTTAAGTGCAAAGGAGAATTTTATTGTATGGATTGATTAATGTCTGTCCCGTGGACATACATATGCTTCATTGGAGTCAAAAGGAAATTCATCAACCAGTCATTTCTAGCAACAAGTGGTGAAGATTTTCTTATCGGAAGGCTAGACATTTCTAAAGAATTTTATTATTGAGATTACATATCTATTTCTTTATGCATTTGACATGTCGCTTGTCGCATCATTAACGATATCGAGATACACAAAATCAGTTTCTCTAATCAAGGTGAAAGGAATTAAATATTTTTAAGAATTCATTGATTCATTAGAAGATGGTTAAATTCACGAGTTTTAAGGAGGTTGAAGATCTTAAATATCTAACCTCCCGTTTTCTTGTGAAGTTTGGAGATTTAGTCACGACTCATGAGAGACTTCGTGGGTGCATCCTCATGTATGAGAATTGCCCTACGGTTCGGTCATGTCACTTGAAGGTGTCAAGGTGGTTGTCCTGGATATGGATAGTGAGTAGAGAGTTCTTACTTAGGGATGGTCGAGATTGTCAATTTAAGAGGATGGAGATGGTTTTTTCTTTTGAATTGATAATTGGGCTCCTGGAAAACACCTGACAAATGGACTAGCATAGCTAGGATTTGCATCCGATGAGGTTCGCTGTAAAACAAAAGTCTGATTCAATCAGACTAGTAATCGTTCCAAATCACGGAGAATAAACGCCGACAAGAACAAAGGTAAAACCCAACAATGCATCACACTATCATGTGAAATCTATCAAAGCATTTGTTTCCAATTGAGAAATAAACTCAAGCATCGGTCTCAACTGGTGTCACCGAATCGAATTTATAACTGATCGTTCCAAGATCCTGCTCCTAGCTTCTGATGTTACCGAGTAATAATAGGAGAGTACTCTTAAGTTTTCAAGAAGAGAGGTGTAATAATGAAATTTCACATCTAGTGCAATGATAATGTGACATAATTTACTAACGATGGTTAGATAAGAGAGACTGAGGAAAGGTTTCTCTCCTCGAATCTCTGAGAAAAGATTTGGGGAATAGTGGGGAGATTGTGATGTTTAACATGGCCAAGTCAAAGTTTTAAACAATAGAAATGGGGATTGGTGAGTTGAAACTTTTAGCGACCGGTGGTGGTGGACTGGGAATTCCAATTCATCATCCTCTACTACGCTACACATCCCACTCTCCACTTTACAAAACCCAAATACGAATTTCCCGTGTTAAACAATTCTAATCCACACATCCATAGCGCGGCTAGGCCTACCACTTTCTTCACTTCTTTTCTTCTTGAGCTTATAAAACTAGTAATAGAGAATTAGAGATAATAGAAGACAAGGGATTTGAATAAAAATTACAATAATTTCTTAATATCGAACTTGAGTTAGGGTACCTATGAGCACGAAGGCACAGATCTTCTGACAATTGTCAATTTTTTATTTGGTGTATCGCAATTCTGATAACTTCGATATTCGGAATCGGGTCAAGTTCTTGTTGGTTTTATTAATAATTATACGTGACGTTGATTAGCGAGCCAACCTCGTTGTTTGTTGCATAACCAGGGCAGAATTGAGACGCGCAGTAGAGAGGTTTCGGTTAGCTTGAGATTTTGGACATCGTCTGTTCGGGTTCAATTGGATTCGAAATGTGTAGTTCGGCTACTCCTCCAGCCGAATGGTAATGATCATCTTCATGTAGCAATAATTCAGCACTTTCTCGATCTCCATTCCCGAGACTTGGAAGTTTAAACATATCACATATATCGAGAGAGTAATAAGTGTGCAGACCTCTTGACCAGTCGAGATTAGGGTTGTTAATAACCCGAGCCGAACCCAACTTTGTCTTGTTCAGGTTTGGTTCATTTATAAACGAGCCGAACTCGAGCTCAGTTCGTTTATGAACGAGCAGAGCCGAGCCGAACACGAGTCATCTCATTTATTGAATATCGGCTCATCACTAAGATCAAAATTTAGGCTCGAGCTCAACTCTAAGATAATTTATGAATTATATACCCTAATATTTATATGTAATATACGATACATGCGATTAACTGATCTTTATGTCATATACGAGACATATTTGCTCACATACTTAAATTATTAAACATCGCAGGAGGTGTGATATACAATTTAATAAATATATGCATCGTTAACAAACCAACTCATAAGATATAGATCGATTTTCTCATAAGGTAGAATGCACTGCATCCATTTGTAATACTAAAACACTCGAGTAAGGACTACGTCGGGCTAATAACCTATTATATCGTGATTGTATGTTTCTCAAATTGATCACGCTTGATATCCTATTGTGTGCATGACCCTATCATACAACAGCATTTTATTTCTACAAGGACCACAAACTACCACCTCCCTACATAACTTTAGCGTAGCCAGCAAACGAATAAGAAAGAAAGAAACAAAAATTGGACAAACTGGGATTGGAAACTTATGTATGATTGATTTTTTTTGGCCCATGACGTTGGAGGGAATGCCCTGCAGCACATCTCGAATTCAAGCTTTTTTCCCCATTTTCTCTATTCTTACTTATAGTGCTTCTGCAAGTTCACGTGATGATCAGAACGTAGCACCAAAGCTGAACCAGTGCCAGCTTCTGTGAATGATCAGTGTCCGTGAAGGAATAAGGAGATTTGTTTATGTAAGAACACTGGCCGACAAACAAGAGCTAAAACCAAACCTTTCCCTTCCAATAATTTTTTGGTTTTCGATGGCTGGAACAAAATGCATATTCTCTCTTCGACGCAATTTCGTATCGTCGCTTATACCCAAAATTGTACACCCGACCTAACTACATATATATGTTCGGCTTTGTTCGAGTGCTTATTATACACCATGCCTAACTATGTCAATAGTCAATTGCAACACGATGAACAAGAAAAATGCAACAATTATCACAAGAACTACACTAAATTTACTTTGATTTGAGGAATTCAATGGTTGGAGTTCATAGTTTAGAAATTAGTGTTCATAATTCAAGATTTAGGGCTTGAAATAGTTCTATGTTACTTGTTATACCATCGTAATAAACTAATGCTAGCAATTAAAATGAGATGTTTTAATACTAGTTTTAGAGTTGAGCACTTTAGTTTTGTGAGTGGAGCACAGATTAAATTAGAATCAATGTCCATTCTAAACCTAAGCCAACACATATGAACAAATATTTGCTAGCATGCTGATGGGATCAATACATCTATTGACATCATCAAATGAAAGGGTTGGTAATCCATCCTATCCGACCTACACAACATGCATCCAACGAGCGAGATTACATGCCATGCTGATGGAATCGATGCATCTATTGACACCATCAAATGACAAGGCTAGTAATCCCTCCGACCCAAAACACGAACAACGTGCATCTAACGAGTGAGATTACAGGCCCGTACTATCCAATATGCTCTTGCACTAGAACCTCTGTCAACAAGCTGGACCGGGTACCAAACACCCAGACCTCCTTAACTTCTCTACCCCAAATATTTAATACATGCTCGAAGGCGTCAACTTAACTGACTCCACACATTACAAGTCACTTTCTTTGCCTCTTACTTCCCCTTCAATTCGGCAAATCCCCCACCACCTCATAAAGGGGAAAAAGGGAGTTCCTCAGGCAGCAGCCTAACTTGCCGTTTTCCTCAAGCAGCTGAAGAATTTAGAGCCTAAAAAGCCAACGGGACCATCTTCTCCCACCACCCAGGGGAAAAAAAAAGAGAAATTAAAAAGAGAAAGTTCTCTAACTTACTTTGTTTCTCATCCCCATGTGGGAAGACACCTTGTAAATTGGAACCCCTACTTCCCCTCCCATTCCTTCATTTCCCTTAAAAAAAAGGGCCGAAAAGAGACTTCCTTCGACTTTATAAAAAACCCTCACCCGCAAACATTTGGTTGGGATCTAAAGGAAACCTAGATCTCAAGGAACCTTCCAATGAGACAGCAAAATTCCCTTGATTTTCTGGCAGACTACTATTTCAGAGGACATATAATCAAATAGGATCCTGGATGGGCAGGGTTGGCAGGCAGCAGCAACAGATCCGAAACATGACGGTGCTAACAGGAAATAGGATCCTGGATATTGTTTGAAACAGGGTTGGGGGGTGGTGAGTTTGGTCAAACCTGAATAAAATTGGTTAATTGGGGTCTAGCTCTTTGAACCCTTCCTTGAATTTTTCCACAGCGCTTGTTTCCTCTTCCTTGCTGAGGCTGCAGTTCCTCCAATCGGCCCTGTCGGGCATATTTAGCAAGCCAGCTAACACCTGCCAGAAGGTTTTCATCACATGGTAAAATTTTAGTACGGAACAGTGAAGGTTTTCATCAGGCAGGTTGGCTGTACTGTATCTCCATTAGCATAGTCAAATCGGTTGTCTATTATAGTCCTGTTTCATATGCAACCAGCAACAACCGGCACAAAGACAATGCCAAGTGAATAATAACTTCAACTTGTTGAACTAAATAAGGGCCGAGTAGAGGAAGGTGAAAGGGCTGCATTTCAGGCTCAACACATTTTGAAAGCATCTGATCTGAGTGACTAAGGTCACACTGGAAATAGTTTTGGATGGTTTCAGAAATGAGAAGACAATTTCTTACCTCGCGTCCAAACTGTGCTGGGAATTTCTCATTCTCGTCAACTGAAAGAGTTAGTATCGTGCCATCAGGGACCTCAGCATAGAAGAAATTACTATTCTCATCAAACTGTGTCCTCAACCACTTTCTTCTGTCCAAAATGTTGTCGACTGCGAGAGAAAAGCAGCAGGGTGAATAACAATGAAAGGTTGCCCATTGAAAGATTAACACATATATATTCACCATTAGGCAGTTGGAAGTGCATCCAATGAATTTAGATAACAAATAGACAAGCTTATCAAAATTCACAAGGAACTGAAGATATGCGAAGATAAAATACATCCAATCTAAATGGTCAGGAAAAGGAAGTAATGGCAGAAAATAAGGATAGAGTCTGTCTTTTTAACGTGTCAATCTTAGCAGCATTAGTAATGTAGATACTCCGACTTACATTTCTTGGAAACTAATTTAAACCCCATTTTTTTAGCAGCCATGTTAAAAATATCAGGAACAGCAGCTGCCCTTGATGATGGAACAGGAACAACCTGTTCAGTGAAACAGATAGAGAGCAAAAGAAAACGACAGAGAACGTCGATTTCAGAAAACGCCTCAATAAAAAAGGAGGATCTAATAAGCATCTCCAAGTATTAATGAACTCAAATGTTACCTGAAGATTGGCATGGGAAACCCGCTTAGAAACCCATTCAAACAGAACAGCTTCCTTTTGCCGATTCTGGAAGTATAGTTGGAGACTGTCATGGAGTCTAACCAGTTCAGACTCAAATTCTTGGGAAAGAGTAAAGGTGTTGGGCAAATGCTCGATTGGTATTACTAGTACATGATCCTCCACGAGTGGGCCTTTAGCAAGTGCACAATAGTAGTTTTCTCCGACACTAATGATTAAATGAGACTCCACATTCGGGCTTGACAAACAAAACCAACATTCTTTTGACCTGTAACATTGAACAAATTTTGGTCATAAGCAACAAATGCAAGCGGCGACCAATTAAGAAATAAGAAAAAATGACACATCTGTAACTACAGGAACAACATAGAGGCAAGGAGCTTCAGCAGTCAGTGTCGTCCACAAAAAATATTCACATACTGACCTGTTAGCAGTCATACTTCCGGAACCGACTCTTCTTCGAGGAGGGTTCTCAGCTTCATTCTGCAACTCATGCTTAAAGCTGCACTCTAGGCCCTTCTCACATTTTCCCTTGAGAAGGAGATCAAGACAAACTCCCCTGCGAAATTGTTCTCTTGAATCCATATCATGCTGAAAGTTGCATTGTTCACCTCTTGGACAAGAACCAGTGTATATGAATTTAAAACATAATCCATCCCCATCTCCAGACTTCTGCCTCTTTTTAGAAACATCATATCGCCAATACTGTGAATCAGACATGCTATCACCAGGCCGCTTGGTGACTTCTTTAAGGCGACCTGTTTGCTCTTCAAACGTATATGGTGATAAGGTAGCATTTGAAGGCATCACGCTGATTTCAGAGGCCGACATAGTACATGCAGGAGTAGGAGAAATTGCATGGATGAATTTCTGGAAGCCAATCACAGGAAACAAAAAATCAGAAAATTTTGGGAATCAAATATATATAGTCAGCAAATAATTTAACTGCATCATCATCTGGATCAGCATATTGACGTCTTGTTAAGTTTTTGTGTTGTAACAGATGGAACTGTAAACTAAAGAGCACTTGTCGTTGTTATCTTTACAATTATTCTTGTTGAAGCCTCATTTCACAACAGTTTCATCAAATAGAGTGAACTTAATGAGAACCTGAGTAACTGTGTTGCAAGGGTATGTAAGAATAAAAGCGATTCCAGCTAACCTGTTTCTTAGGATTTCCAACTGAAGCAAGGCCCAAAAAACGAGTGACATGCACAGCATCGGTGTTGGAATAAGGTTCCCGGGCATAAAATATATCTTTAGTACCTGCAATATGATACCTGACAGGCTGCAGAAACTCAGTAAGAGAAGTAACCTCTTGAGTTCAAGAACAGAAGACTGATATGTTTGTGGCTAGCCAAGGAACAAAAGCAGTCAGAACTCAGCAGAAAGAAGAAATCCACTATCAACTGTGCTTTTAGTCTTTGTTATTCTCACTTTCAGCCATAAAGTAACAGAAAGAAACAATCATCCAGCAGGTTTTGTGGAACCCGCCTAGGCTGGAATACCTATTCATAAATTGCAGAACTAGGTCATGGCGAGTCCGATATGAACTATAATGGAACCTTTAGTAGCACTACTATCAGAGAAGAATCATTAAAGAAGGACATGAGTTTGCTGTATCGGTCCATCTATTACATGAGAATTCATTATCCTAGACAGCCAGGAACAGTAGAAGAGAAATGTCGTTTCCTACCTAAAACCTAATCATCGAAACAAACTAAGCAAACATGCCAAAGGATCACATATGGCCTAACACAGCAAAGTATAGGTCACGCCTAAGCTCCAATGTAAAGCTTCGGTTTCTGCTCAGTGAAATGATCACTTTAGAGCAAGACTTCTTAAAAGTTACCCATTTCAAGGCATCTCACTCCATCTTTAAGAGTGTACGAGCTGTTCCCTAACAGGACATGTGACACAAAAGAAAGTCATTCATACATATTGGTGAAGTGCAACAGCATGTAAACAATAAACACATGTAACCAACTTACCGTGGTTTGATCTCGGCTACCAACTCTGATATAGCAGGATCACACCCTGATGAATCTGATGCTTCGGCAGGAACATCTGCCAAAGATGCTCTAGTTGTGACCCCACTTGGCCATTCATTAGTGAGAACCCGTCAAGGAAGTTTGCATATTTCAGACAAAACATATGAAGCTACAAGAATGTAACATATACTAGAGGAAGAAAATGAAAACACGATGCATATCAAGAGCATAGAGGATATGTTAAGAACAGATCAACCACTCCAGATTCCTCAGCCAATGCTCGCAAAGCATCAACATCATCTTGACTGTATGTACCAAATTGTTGACCCTCCGATGAGCTTCTACCAGACAAGTAAACAATGGACAAACCTAATAGCACAAAAGTAATCAGTGGAAACAGCAGATAGCCTCCCAATACAGAACAGCAGAGAATTCACTGCAGTTCAAGTTTCATTGCAGTTAATGTGACAGTTGAATCTCAGGGATTTCATTGCAGTTCAAGTTTCTTCCAGCAACGATTTAGGCTAAATATAATAAGCACAGACAGGCAATTAAGGGAGGAAAACAAGTGATCATTTTATCAGGCACCATACCCTGGAAGGAGAACTTGCCGCTGCCCCTAAGCCAGTGAAGATTCTCGCATATGGCGAGACCGTCCATTTTGAATCCTAAGTTGGCAGAGTTCTTGGATGCAGTGGAAAGGACTTTAGGAGCGGCAACACCATAGTCGCCGATGAAGTAAGTAGGAAGGGGGACAGAAGAGCGGCCTTCGACGTAGTTCATGAACTCCTCAAGCCGCTCCGGCGAGTCGGGGAAGAACTGGCCGACGCAGAAGAGTGCGTCGAAGGGACCAGCAGACTTGTTCACCTGTGAAACGTCGTCATCAAAATATAGTCCAAGAATCGGGATGATGGGAATTAGCTAAACTTCGAGAGAAAGAACGAAAGGTGCGAGAGGGAGAAGAATAGAGACCGATTGGACGCGCTTGAAGAGCTGGTTGAGGCGGCCAAAGACATCGCCGGCGAGGAGGATTCGAGGAGCTGCCATGGGGACGGTTGAAAGTAGGGATGGCAATGGGTCGGGTCGGGGGCGGATAGTGCATATCCGTTATCCTACCCAAAGTAGTTCGGGTTTTACCCATACCCATACCCACATGTGAAACGGGTAGAAAATCAAAACCATGCCCATACCCGTTCGGGTTTCGGGTATCCACGGTTATCCATGGGTAATCATTTCTCTTCATAACTTCAATCAATATGTTAACATTCACACGAATTCTCACATTACATAAGAGGAAAAGTACGACAATAATTCACTAGAATGAAGAAAATTAATTAAAACAACACAATTTCATGAAAATATTATACTTATATAGTAAATATAAAATATGTTAGAGAAAAATAATGATTATATCTAGAGAAAATACATATGCATTTGTATAATCGGGCGGGTTCGGGTTGGATAGTGAGAAATCCATGCCCACCCATTACCCACAATATTCGGGTTCGGGTTTTACCCATACCCACTAAATGTCTTTCGGGTTCGGGTTTTACCCTACCCGATTAGGCCGGATTCGGGTGGATATCCACGGTTACGGATATTTTTGCCATCCCTAGTTGAAAGAAAGGAGGGAGCAACTGTGACTACGAGTAGGATGGTGAGGAAGAAATTGAAATTCGAGCTAGGCCCATATTTGAGCTTTTTCAGTCCATCTACTTACTATGTGGGCTTGGGCCTTCACCAGTGCATACAGTAATATCCTGTAATACTGCTTTACTATCAACAAATTCTGTAAGGGTCGTTTGGAAGTTGCGATTGTTAGTGTTGTATTTGTTAAATACATGTATTGTCCACAATACAACGTTTGGAAGTGTCAAGTTGCAAAAGAATGCATGTATTGTTTTGTGTGGGTCCCACCAACAATCAACAAAAATGAGGGATTGTACAATCTCAACTAAAAGTTGAGATTGTTATGATTGTTGGTTTAATAATTGAGCACCTTTACTTTTTCCAATTATGTACATAGTTCTTTTTGTTTTATATTAAAAGTGGAGGACAAATATGATATTTTCTTATAAAGTAACTTTATAACAATTCATTCATAAATTATAATCTCAACAACCAAACAATGTAATTTCAAAATGCATCTATTATATCAATGCATACATTTATATCACAGTAATTCATAACAATACAACGATTTAACATACGTAACTTTCAAACGACCCTAAATTCTCTCAACCGCACCAACTTCGCTTCTCTTCTCTTCTTCTTCTTCTTCTTCTATCTTTGCTCTCTTTTCAAAATCTTTCCATAAGAGCACAAACTTTTATGCAATCAAGGGACTAAAGAACAAGAAAACTATTGTCGCAAAAAAAAAAAAAGCGCCATGAAAGAGTGAAAGGCTCCATACTACTTAATTTCGATGGTGCAACTACGGTTGTGTTGGTTTTATTGGGTTTTCAAAGAATAAGTTGATTTTTAATTTGTTTTTTGTAACTTCTATGATAATGTGCCTAATCCTTTTTCCGTTGAGCTCCTAGACTTCAAGTTTCTCTTTGTTGGTGTTTATCTCCTTACATTGATGGTCTATGTTGTGATGATGCACATGTGATCATTTGGATGGTCAATGCGAGAAGCTCGTCTCACCTCTGAGTGGCACTATCTTAACTGAAGTTCGGGTGTTAAGCTACTCTGTCTAGCGTGCCTTCTTCCAATCCGCGTTACATATGTATAACATGATTGGCCATATCGTGACTACACAAGCCCTTCTATCGTTTGATCAACTTCTGGTTGACTAACTTCATTTTCTATTTTTTATTTTGTGATTTGACCTGTAAATGCCTTGTATATTTACGTATGGAGCTATTTCGTCTTTTGGCATACCTTTGGAAAACCTACCAGGGTTATCCATTATTACTACTATTATTAATATTAGGATAATAACTATTCGATTTAGTAGTATTAGATTATTTATCAAAATTTTCCATTATTTTACTATACGTATGTACTTGGTGTATTACACCAAAATCACCCTCCAACCCTAATCCCTTTTTCTCTCAATTCTCTCTCATCCTTCATTTTTCGGTGGCCAAGGACGAGTTTCCCCCCTCTCTTTCTTCTCCTCTAAGCTACACACAGATTCCTAATTCTATCCTCAATTCTCTATAGATTACTAACCATCGATCAATCCCCAATTATCGAACCCGACCAAAAAACACCATATATCCGAGTTTCTATAAAAAACATTGTTGGCAACACCTAAGGATGGCAATGGGAGCGGGTTTCCCTAAACCACCCATATTTTCAAATACTCAAACTCATACCCGCCTCATACCCATGTGGGGAAGTTTTAGCATTCTCGTCCCCATACTTGCGGTTTCGGATACCCGTGGGAATACCTTCCCCGTCCTACATTATTATATCTAAAATTCAACTTGTAGATTTCGATAACACTATATGAACCTAATAAATCATGAAATCAATAAAGATACAACCATTTTAATACGAATTCAATGCATTCAATCCAAAAAACATCCATTAATCCATAATACAATATCATCAAAAACATTCTTTACGACTCTGACCCCATTTAGTAAGCAATAACTAACTAACTAACTAACTAACATAATCTTGTTAAAAGTGAGAAAGAAGTGAAGGAGTGAAAATAGAATTGAGGGGAAGCAATTAAGTTTTGATTTGGGTTACCACTCAATTACATTACAACACTTTTTTTAATTACCCTTCTTTTTTATTGTCATGTTACAATTGTTTCGCTATTTTTTATACAAGAAGAAATACTCTTGGTGGGCTGGTATGTGGGTGGGTGGGGATTTTAAGACTATACTCGCTTCATCCCCATCAAATATTTAGCGGATTTTACCTATTATCCACCTCATACCCAGTCAATCCGAAATTTCCTCATTGACTAGGTCGGAGGTGGTGAAATACTTGCTGCAGTTGCAGGTTTGATTGTAATCCCTAGCAAAGCTGCTCACTGGTCACAGAAATGTGTAGGTTATATTTGGACAAGAATGACATTGTTTGCACAAGAGACCAAGGCCAATCGTTATTATTGCAGCATCAGAAGCAGGCACGCCCGTAGCACAGCAGCAGCAGTACTAACTATACATACTACAAACTACGACACGGCACAATCTTATTTACAAGGAAAATGTCGACCTTGATTCTGCATCTAGACTTGGCTGGCTTGCTTTCAGCTGCAACTGGTGAGGTCGGGCTTCAAGATGAGAATGACGGAAGAGTAACTGAGCATTGGGTATAAATTGCCATCCAGGAAGTGTGCAAGCTGCTGAATGGCCACCTCTCTCCCAGGCAGATCCTCGGCAAGGAAGTCAAACGGTGCAGCTTTCCCCGTGTCGACCAATGGCTCCCATCTGTATCCTGGACGTTCAGGGAGTGAGATGGTTACCGGCAGGTGACTAGCATTGAACCCGATGTAGATCTCTCCCTTCACCGCGTCAACCTGGATGAGATTCATGCTCAGTCTCTTACATGATGAGACGTCAAATTATATTCATCATGACTTTTAAAGAATGATGTGCAGAGTGGCAGTAACGTAGAGACATTTACCAGGGAAAAGCCAACGAATCTGCTTGTTTCTGACCAGTCAGGCACGCCGACAGCATGACCATGCCATTGTAGCCTCTCAGCAGTTGGGAAGTCATTCAAGCCCAAAGATTCGCATTCCCTACAGCACCAGAATGAAAAAAAGGCAGAGCAGCAAATATGAGTGGGGGAATTGCATATCCAGAAGGTGCATCTGGGGAGAAGAAAATGTATACACACACACACACAATAATAGTACTAACCGGCGGAAATTGGTCATGAGGTGACAAAACCTGAAGAAGTCTGACGATGCTTCGTCCTTCTTGTCCCAGCGAAAATAGTTTATCTGCATTAGGCATCAAACAGTTATGAGCACGAATCATCAGGAAGTTTTGGCTTGCTTTTTGAGATGATAAAGAACCCAAGAAAGGGTGTAGGGAGGGAGGGAGAGGGGGAGAGAGAGAGAGGTACATAGTTGTCGTGACAGTATGTGTTGTTATTCCCCCCCTTTGTGTGACCATATTCATCACCCATGTATATCATGGGAACACCCTGGTCACAGGAAAGATCAAGAAGTGAGAAATGAATGCCACTCATAAACAAGTCAGGCCATGGTCTAAATCCTCGACTGGTTCATTGACTCGCCTGTCTTCGATAAATGCTATATTTTTTGTGCCTGATTTACTGGCTTTCTAAATATTTCAAAACAAAAAACTACCTAAAAAAGGAACCAGTCAAGCATCCAACGTAAGAATAAAGCTGAGCCCGAATGCTTCAATCTGTTAATAGAACCTAGCCCCAGAAAGTACAGGCATGAAGGATTGCTGCATCGGTACACTTTTCTATGCTCGAAAATTATCCACAGTGACATACTTCCAGCCTCCTTGTTTCTTGTTGGACAAACTTGCAACACCATTTGGCAATGGAATTCAGCCTGACGGCTATGCATATCAAATTATCAACCTTATTTTGACGACGGAATATAGGAAAAAGACATAAAACGTCATTTTCTATTCAATCAATGATTTTTTCATTCCTAATCTAGAACTATTTCCATAATACTTCCCAACTCAGTATTTACTTTTACAGGTAAATATGAAATACAGTTTAACAGGTATTCAACAATGTGAGCTAAACAAGTCATATAGTTCTGAAAGGCATATTCACAATAATATATGGGACATTACCTGAGAAACCATGAGACAGAGAAAGAAATTCCGCATTTGTCTTTTCCTTAATTTCTTCACAAAAATGCTCGCGAACTCTCCCTCCTGCATCAATAAAAAGTAGTGAGCTCGTGTAGAAAGCGACAAAAGTAGTTGCTAGATCGATGTTTATTTCCTCTTGACTTTCCTAGATTGATGATTTAGATATAATAGAAAAAGCAGGACTAGCAAGCTTGCGAGCAGGAACTAAACTAACTGAAAGTCATATTTCCTTGACAGTGTCCGTTAATAGCTGTCATGTCCAAGCTAGTACGCAGAAAACACAAATCACAGCTAGGAAGTTTGAAGACCATTCATACTTATAAAGAGAACAACCTATCAACTAGTACATACATGAAAAATTATCACCAGTCCAGATATCCATTAATTTGGATCATCATGTACACTAATAACATATGACATTTCCATAATCATTTCATAAGAACCAATGATAAATCATCCATATATATCATGCTGCCATATCTAGCATGTTTGGCTACTGATCCAATACTGGAAAAACCTACTTTTGAAAAAACATAAAAAAATAAAAACTTGAGTGATTGAGTGGGTATACCTGTCCACAGTTCCAACTATTATTATGGTTTTCTCCATCATTGTTGTTTTCCCCATTGGCCAAGTTATGTTTGTTGGTGTAGGTAACTAAATCCGCTAACGAAAAACCATCATGGGCGCACACAAAGTTGATGCTATTCCAAGGTTTCCTGCCTCCTGCCTGATGAATTATTCATTGGAAAAAGACATTAGAAAACCTTTGGAGACCATGCTTCAAGACTAAGCCATGTAACACAAAACTAATCAGGTGCACACGCATTTAGGCATGATGTTGGTCCTGATTTCAGCAATGCAAAAAGAGCTTATCAAAGACAGAACCGGCTAAAAAGTACATGACCAGATTTTCAATTGTTTTGGAGTTGGCTATACCCAATATATCATAAACTAGCTCTTTGTGCTTCTACAGAAGCAATGCCCCAGTACCACCTGACAATGACATAAGACATTGCTGAAAAGTCGGGCATTTATGGCTTCATTATTGATTTACCCTCCTTGTCCTTGAAGACTACCTTTGGCCTCTAAGCAATAAATTTCACAAGGGTAGCATAGATACAACATTAGAATATTTTTTTGTATAAGTTACAACATTAGAATCTTTGAAATAACCTCCTTGGTCTGTTTGTTTATCAAACGAGATGGGAATGATGTAAGAGATAAGAACATTTAACACTACATATGAAGGACTCTGCAACTAACTGAAGGCCTAACTAGGAAAACGAAGTGGAAAGAAATAGATAACAAACCTGGTATAAGTTGGGGCTCCCACATAGGCATTCAGCAAATGCCCCAGAAAAGCCATCTGTACCCTTAATGAACTGCCTGACAACATCACGATACTGCAATTGAACATAATAAAATCATGGATGACAGGCATGAGTTTATTCAAAAGGTTCTTTACAGGAAATAATAAAATGACATGCACACTAGGTGATGTAAACTATTTTGAAGGAAATCAACAACAAAAGTTTGGAGTTATGAAAATTCAGTTCTCCAACTGAAGAAGGAACTTGCAGGCAAAGCAATTCCAATGAATACTAGAGAAGAAAGATCGATTACAGAACCCCTCAAAAAACCAAAAGCAATATGCCAACTTTTCATCAAATAAATTCCATGGTAGGGCATTGTTTTAAGTAAGAAAATTTTATATCATGGAAAGCGCTTGGGATGGGAACTACAAAAGTCAAATGATGGATGAAATGCTGCAGAAAAGGTCCGAAAGTTGTGTACAGAGTGGCTTATTCAGTTATTCTTGTTAAAGCAAATGTAGAATATTAAGGGATCATTGAAGCTTGCTATTTCAAAATATATACATTTCAAACAATATAATGTAATTCGAACAAATGTTTTAGTAAATTGCATGAATTTAAAATGTTTTCATGTACAAGAACAAATAAATAATGTGTTTGGAAACTCAGCCTTTCTCTAAGATTTCAAATACTTGATTTGCATTCATCTTTTATTCATCATTTTTTTGGTATTTAACTTTTATTCATCATTGGCCCTCACCTCATCACTCATTTTCCCCCTTCATTTGATGTATCACCCCTCAAAGCTATAAAGGACATATCGGTCTCCTTTCCACATTATAAAAAGACGATCACTTTTAGAGTTTCAAATCCATCACTATACTCTACCTATTCATACAATGTTCTTATTTCAAATATTCTCAAAATATTTGAATCACTAAAAGGCTGTTACATTACTAAAACTGAGTTCTCGTATCTTTCCCGGTTTTGCTGCATGATCCTAAAGACTATATACGACATATTTAGTAAAAACGTTATACACACAAAGCCTACAAAGAACTATGAAGGGGGGGGGGGGGGGGATAAATCACATACAATTCAATAAATAGACGGAGCTATAGATGTAAAAGAGACGTACTCAATTTTTTTTTCTTTAGCTGGATACTAAAAGCTACAAACTTCCGTACATAAGTTCTGGAGAGCTCTGGATTATGACAGGTAATATTCAGAGCACTTGGAGAGTATCATATACTGACCTTCCCATTCCACTCTGACCAAATACACCAATGAGGAAAGGTACCAACTTGATACAAGCCCCCAGCATCCCATGCTTCTGCAATAAGCTAATTAGAAGAGAGAGAGAAAAATTAAGAAGTTAAATAAAGTACGTTTAGATTAGATCAGATGACAAGCCATTAATTTTTTTTTTATAAGCCATTAAGATGCACAGTATCACACCAAAAAGTAATAAAATAAAAAGGAAACCTATAGACTAAGCCACTAAGGCTATAGATGAACCTGTCTAGCACGTTCCGACGCTTTTGAGGATTGGAACAAAAATAAATGTTTTCTTCCACCTCTTTACCCATGATTGTTCGATTGGAGAGAGAAGGGCTGCTTGGATGGCCTATATTTAGATTCTTTTCCATTGATTATAAATCCTTCATCGCTAGTGTAATATGTTTTATTCTAAATGCTGCACGCAATGGCATAATCAGAAACCTGGTGGAATGAGATGTGTTGCTTTTCACACTCTGGTTTCCCCTTTTCATGAGGGTGTGGAAACAAGAAATGGAAGTGTAGTTCAGTCTATTCATTTTGTCTCACCAAGATTGAGATACAGCATTACTAAATCCTTAAGCAATACTCCAAAAAATATCTCAAGAGTTAAGATAAACGTGTACATCTAGATTCTAGCATCACCATCAATGGATTTTTTCTACACTATATCCACCAATTTTCGAATTCTTGTTAGAGTCCTAAAGAAGTTGGGAAAAGCTAATGATTTCTGAGATTTCTAATTCTCAGTCTGTCTTTGGTGATACCTAGGCTCTAACGCGTGGTTTTCCATAAAACCCATTGTTTCTTCAGTACAACATAGTTACTGTATCACATGCTCCAGTTGCATTACTCATGTAATCATGCAGAGCAAAAATTCCCAGCCAGAAGAAAAAAAATTGGGAGGAAGAGGACTGGTACTCATTACAGGAACATAGCAAATAAGTGAGGACAACTGCCAGCTAGCAATGGCTATAATGAAGTCATTGGTTATAATTTTTCTCTGTTAACTAAGTCATAGTCCTCCGGTATGGTGTACATTAGAGATGAAGAACTATGCATTCCAACCAATCTACCTTGCCTATTTTGAGTTTTTCTCCACAGAAGAACTCAGTACAGATGAGTCCTTTGCAGCGGCTAGATGATTCAAAATATAACAAACTCTAACTCATTGCATCAACAATTTAAAAGCCCAAAAAACATAACAAAAAATACCTTAAACTAATTAATACCTTTACGTCTCGAAGTACAGGATCATTGCTTATCATGTCAATCAATGGAGGACTGCCAAGAGGTGTTCCGGTAGTCAACAAGTCACCTTCCATTGGACTTCCAAATACATTAGCAGCATCACATAGACTTGTTGAGCAAAACAAATTTCACAATAAAGGAGAAGTTAATAACAAATTCATTTGAGATTAAAACAGGAAAAGGCAATGATATAGAGTATAAAAGTTCAGGAGACAAACCTACTACCCCTGGTCATAATTGAAGCAAGATCAAAGCGAAATCCATCTACATGCATTTCCAATACCCAATATCTGCAAACCAATAAAACGTTATGCTAAAGTTTCTGATTCTCATAATGGCCCAGAAGCACTAGGCCCACAAGTGGTAGCGATCAGCAATGATAACATCAACAGCAATAGTGGTAGCCACAGAAGAAGAAGAAGGGGGGGGGGGGGGGGGGGGGGGGGGGGGGGGGAAGCAAAAAATAATAAATTGATGGCAAAAGAACAATTACTTTGAAGAAAGCATATAGAAGTACAACCCCAACTTAGACAACTTTCAAAACTCCTGATGAAGGAAAAAATCTAGACAAAATCTTACTGAATGGATGTGATAGCAAGATTAAGATGAGGGACAGTCTAAGTTTCATAGCCAAGAAATCTAAGGGAATGGAAGGATATGAATAGTGCTCTCAAAGCAGGAAAATATGTAATTTCCTCTGTTTCTGTTCCCTTATGACCCAATGTAGCAGTTCAGATCATCACCAGCTAATAGTGTACGGATAACATATGCCAATGACCATGAAGGACAGGTTAATAGTGTACGGATAGCATATGCCTTCAGTTTCTTTAGACTCAGATCTAAATAGACAACTTCAAACCATCTCACCTTAAGCAGTCAACTATGAACTGGCGCACAACAGGATGGTTGCAGTTGAATGTGTTCCCACAGCCTGAATAATTATAGAACTCTCCCTACAAGGTCATAAGCATGAGGTGGCATTTAAATCATAAATGATAGCAAATTCTATTAACACAAATTTAAAACCTTCTAACTCCTACACCTATTCTTTTCTCAGCTTTCCTTTCAGCTAAACTTTCAAGCAGATTAACATACATTTTCTTTGACAGCAAAATATCTCGATCAGTCGCAATTATAATGAACTATTAACTAATTTTGACTTCTTTTATAAGAATTTCTTTCCTATATTATTCGATAGTTATTTCTATTTCAAGTGAACTTGCGCTTGGAAGTTAAAATTTTCTTGGTCAGCGAGTTGGCCCCAAAATACAGATTGGGCATGGTACTTTTAAAAGGAAATCCTGAAATTTTGCCTTCTGGTGGACCAGGGTAACGCCACCCAGAAAGCAAAACAAAGATTAAGCAGTTCCAAAACACAGTATATCTGTTCTCAGAAAGGATAAGTTGAGCAACTATATCAGAACTGTGTTTTGACTCCACAGTCCAAAGGGAATTTTCTTTTTCAAACTGGAATATTCGCTAATTTCTAGATATCCTTAAACAAATATAATCTTTCATCAATGACATGGCATATCATATAGTCAAGAGCCATACCTTTGGAGCAACCATGTAGTAGACACTGTTGTCAAGCCCTCTGAAAGAAAGGATAGGGCCTTTTTCATTTCCTTCTGCTGTGTGATTGAAAACAACGTCCATGAACACCTGCTTAAGTGAAATCATATAATAACATTCTAGAGATTAAGAAAAGTACCAATTCAAATTCCACACTATGATGCATTGAAATATCACCTCAATTCCTCGCTTATGTGCTTCTCTAACAAGAAGCTTGAATTCGTTTATGGCATCACGGCCACAATTACGTGTACCAGCAGATGAATATCTCGTCATAGGTGAAAAGAAATTGATAGTTGAATATCCCCAAAAGTTCATTCTGGAGGAAAGCAGAGATATCATATCGGAATCAGAAGATTCATAATGCACAAACATCTTGCATTACAATCCAGGCAAGCAAGCATGTCGATATTTATTTGAGTCATGATGACTTACCTCCGTCACAAGGATAGAACCTGAGTAGGGAGACATAAACATTTGCATAAGTTTTTTTTTCTTTTTAGAAGTGGGGTTGGCCTTAAGGTTTGAATGTATGGTGGGTTGGATGTTTTTACATCCCTTTACCACGAGGTCATCCAATTGTGCATACAAAACTATAGAGGTGGATATTCAAAGACTACAGCTGCCTAACAAATCATCAAAAAAATTCATATATTTATAAAGCTTTTTTTGGCTATAAGTCATTTTGTTATCTGCACGAAGACTCTCTTTCCCAAAGTAAAAAGACATGCATGATAACAGGATGAATTTCAGAAGGAATGACAAAAATGGCGTACTTGTAGTCACCCATAACCGAATTGTATTTGTAGTACTCCAACTCATTAAATTCCTGGCATGGCATTAATTCTATGCAATTCACACCGAGATCCTGAAAAGCAAACAATCACAGTAAGCACAAACATGCAGATCCTACTCAGATGGATAAATTTATCTGCCACTTGATATCAATGAAACCAAATATAAGCTCTGAACAGATAGTGGGCACTTATCGACAATGATTAGCAGAGCCAATTCATATTCATATAGTCAATACCACAACAGTATCACATCCCAGTGAAGCCGAGCACTAGCACAACTCCACACTCACCTTTAAGTGATCAAGCTTTTCCACAATGCCAAGATAAGTACCAGGTTTCTCAGCTCCGCTTGACTCATGTTTTGTATACCCGCGAACATGCATCTCATATATTAGCAGCTCTCGCTGGGGAAGCTTCAATGGCAAGTCTCCTTCCCAGTCAAACTAAAGCAAGAAAATAGATAAGGGCTTAGATACTGTTACTGCAGATGCAAAACTAAACTATTCTCGCTAGTGTGCATCGAACCAAGTAGTCTGCAAACAAAATCTAGACTACGATATATCGAACTGTTCCAATCCATTGCCCTATTAGACTGCTCAATTTCTTAACATAACTAACTAGGGATAGCCATTTTTGCATCATTTCCAAATTCTACTAGCCTACAACTAGCAAGCAAAAGATCAAGTACATGGAATCTCTCCCAACACTAAAGGAAATCAAGAGGCCCTGCATCGCGTACCTCGTCTTCACCGGAGGGTATCATGCAGGCCATTTGGGGCCAGCAATTGTCCTTCTGAGCTACAACCCCGAATTCATCTCTGGATACAACTGCCTAGAATCAAGGAAGGATCAGCATCCACACATTAACGAGCAGAGAACATGACAATCAAAGAACTTACTCTTGCGTAAGGATCCAAAAGAATCTTGGAGGGATCAAAGTAATGTCCTTGTTCAGGAGCATACTTCCCATCAAAACGGTAACCGTACAGCATATCTTTGAAATCCCCTTTCAGGAACACATGCCAAATGTCGCCTGTCTTGTTCGCAACTGGGTGGAGAGGGATCTCCGCCGTCACTCTACCCTGCATCCCGCCGAGCATAAAAACCATCACTTTCTTCAATTGAACCCTCAGAGCCGTTGAAATGAGTAAAACGAGAGAACAAGCAATGCACAATTGTAAACCAGACCTTGGACAAATCAGACAGAGAAATCAAGCAGAGAGCTGCGGCGACGGCATTGGAAGAATATACAGAGAAGTTGACGCCGCCGTCCCGAGCGGTGGCACCAAACGGAGCGGGATGCCCTTCGGAGACCTGAAACTTCCCCAATTGCCGCTCTCGGATCACCAAGCTGGGTTCTTTGATCTCCACGCTCGCCTTCCTCGCTACACAGACGACGATCGGCCGGGAGGAATTCCGAGGAGCATCGTGGAATGTGCCGAAATTGGGAGGTGGAGTGGCTTTCGGCGTCGTTCTTACTCTTGCCAAGGAGTCTGTGCCGGGAAGGAATAGGGAGCGGGGAGCAGAGTGAATCACCTCCATTACTGGTTTCTTTTCATGAAACAATGGAGAGGCGGAGCGGGGGAGAGGAGAATCGAAATGGGTGGTTTTCAGAAATCTGAAATCCCGAAACCTTTGGAAGTCAGTATACTATGGAGAGCAGAGCATCCTACTGACAGTTGAGTGAGTGGCAGAACAGAAGATGCGAAGAGAACTCTCGCTCTCCTCGGGAGAGAAAACCTCCGCTGCGGGCGGAACTAACTCTAAATTCGGAGTTTAGAAGGAATGAGAGCCCTTGGATCCAATTATGCCGTAGTAGCCCTTTGATCCAAATGAAAGGTGGAAGGAGATTCTCACTTCTTTTGCGAAAGACTAGTCTAGTAGTTGAGTGCTCCTTGTTATTCTCGTCAAACTAGTTCATCCTTATCATTCCTTCATAACTAACTGAAGTTGTGCTATGATTTGAACTTTTATGAGTTGGTATCGGAGTTGGTTGAATATGAGTTTTAGTGACAAATTCCTTTCGTGACGAGGGAATGCAAAGAAGTTACTTTGATCGATGGTTTCGGGACGTCCTTTGGTGCTTTAAGTTAGTAGTTGATTCTAGATTAGATATGCATCGCAAGAAAGATAATAAAGTGGAGATGAAAATCAATGTCGTTTTTAATCATAGTTGGAGCTTAGTGTTTTAAGCATTGTCTTTTGGTCTTGCATTTACTTGAATATATGCTGACCGTTTATAGTGGTTATTGGTTATTGTCAATGATTTATTTAAGTTAAGCATAATCTAATTATATGGTTGCGACACACGAGAGTTATAAAAAAGGCTTGGTGCATTATAAAGAATAATCTAATGAAGTACATCAATGATTTCTATTTGTATAGGACTTTAACATATTCCAATGCTTAGTCCTTCTTTTGTTTGATCCGGAAGAAAGAGGCGGTAGAATAAATGTGGGACTTCAGACCATAAGCCTCATAGGAAGCTTCAACAAGATTGTATCTAAGTTGGTTTGTGCTCGCAAGCCCCAAATGAACGTTGCTATCTCACATCAACAGTTTGTAAGAACACAGAGAAGGTAGATTCAAGAAACTAGTTTGATAGCTAATGAATTGATTGATAGTAGACGTCGGAGTGGGAAACCAAACCTTGTAGTCAAGTTAGATATTGAAAAGGCTTTCGACTCGACAAGCTGGAATGTTTACCTAAAATTTTGAAGGCCATGGAGATGAATGTGATTAGTGGATCAAAGGTATCATCTCTTCATCCAAGATCTCAGTATTACTCAACGGTGATGCATCAGTTTCCTTTGGTATGCAAATAAGGTTTAAACTAGGGGATCCACTCTCTTACTAATTGGTTAACCTCGCAATGGATATCATATCCTACATACTGAGAGATAGGAGGAGTTGGTTTATTTCATGGTTCTGCATTGACTAAACTAGAAGTCGAGGGGAGGTCACACAAAGGGCTACAAATAAGCCAAACTGCTCGCAAGATCGAGAAATTTTCGTTCTATACTCGACTCAATTTTTAATGAGTTGGCTCGTGATCCTGCTAATAGTTAATGTGCCAAACACGATCCAGAGCCTCTTCAACTCGCTCAGACTCGTGAGCTAGCTTGGAATGTTAGCTTGTTGAGCTAGGCTCATTAGCTAGCACGTTTGTAGCTCGTGAGCTTGCTCAAAATTGTGGCTCGTGAGTTAGCTCCATCCAAACTCATGAGATAGCTTGATATTGTGGCTCGAAACTTATGTCCATTTAAGCTCATAAGTCAACTTAATGGTTTGGATCACACACCAACTCGATTAGCTACTCATTACTAGCTCCTATACTGGCCTATTGTAAGTCATGTAACCCGTAGGTTAGTTAGATTGCATATGTTTCAATTTATTGTTAGTGATATAACTTGTAGGTTGGTTATATTCCATATCTTACAACTCAATATGGTTTAAGACTTTGTATATGTGGCTAAATATTCATTGCATATATGAATTGTGTGTCTTATCTTTAATTTATTAATGCTAAACACATATAACACATAGATATCATCATTCAAATATGAGTTACTTACTAACTCACCTATAAACTTCAAGGTTTAGTATATGAAGTGGTTTGTTGAACTATGTTCAAATTTGCTAATAACTTTTTGTTGGAACCAGATGACTCAACAAAAGTTAGGTTATGAAAGCAACTGTTATCCATATTTTATACCTCAATTTCAACTAGAGCAACAACCATTTCAAATTTTGCTTTATTAATAAATGTATGAGAAGCAAATAAAATGTTATCGATTTAGATAAGATAGGTTATCTGCATGCAAATCCATGATGGGTTTCCCATCTCTCTGAAAATCCATCTCTTCCAGCACTCATACTACTTCAGACACTTTCGGTCTTTGACTCGGAAGGTATTGTGTGCTGAGGAGAGCAACTTTAACGGAAAAAATCCCACTGTACACACGTTCTTAAAAAAAATTCTCAAAATACATGAGTTATAAAAAATTTTCCCAAAGTACACATGTTTGAGTATCACCATTTTTGACAAAAGCGGTGAAGGTCATCACAGCGTTTGACAAAGACGGTGAATACTTCACCGTATTTAACTAAAACGGTGCAGTATTCACCGTTTCATAGTAAAACGGTGAAGGATTCACCGCGTTAGCCTACAACGGTGAATGCATCACCGTTTTAGTTAAAAACGGTGAACACATTCACCGTTGTAGGTTAACGCGGTGATCTTTTCCCACGTTTCCCACCCCTGGTAGGTCAAAATTAGGTCACAGCTACCAACTATTCACCGTTTGAGACAAACGCGGTGATGGTGTTCACCGTGTTTGACAAAAAGGGTGAATAGTAGACGGATTTTCATATAAATAGCACACCACCAGCAGTTGTAAAAACATAACCACTCCCCTTTCTTCAAATTTCAGCAACCAAAATCGAGCATAATACACAGAACAGAAATTTTTCGGTATGTTGAGACTTTTCGTATTATAGTCTAATTATGTTTTTAGTAGTTATAGTATGATTTAATTTTCGTATTATGTTGTTGTTAGTTAGTTGAATTTATGTTCGTTAGTTATAGTATGATTTAATTTTCGTATTATGTTGTTGTTAGTTAGTTGACTTTATTTTCGTTAGTTATGAGATGGATAATATTAGTTGTACAATATGATTTTGGATAATTTTACTGTCTTTAAGCTAATAGATACTTATTGTAAATTGTAGATATGGGTAAATTCAAGAAGTTTCATCTTACTATTCGATGGAATGGAAGGGTGACAAACTCTGACATAGGCATTGATTATGAGGACGGCGAATCCATTATGCTGAAAATTGATTCCCGATTCAATTTTCAAGAACTCTGTGATATTTGTGCAGACAGGGTTTGTACGAGCAGACAGACGAGACTTGACAAAATTACTTACCAGTATCCAGACATGAGTGATGGCGGGGTCGTGTTCCAAGAAGTTGTCATAAACGATGATGACGCGGTTACGATGTGTTACAGTTCCTAAGCGATAACCAAGTCCGGCTTGCAGAGGTGTATGTTGAGACCGAGGCGGTCGGTGAATCTCATTCTCACCAGTATTCTTATGATGATGGTTTTGCAGGAGGGTACAAATGGGGTGGTAGTTCGAGCAACTACCAAGGCGGTGGTTATACAGGAGGTTACGGGGAGGGTGGTGGTTCAATCAACTACGGTGGAGGTAGTAGTGCAGGATGGGAAGAATACTCGCGGCCTCCTCAACCAACCCCATTTGTTGAGGCCGATGGTGTTCAATGGCCTGCTTGGGGGCCAGAGTGGTCTGAAATCGAGAATGCCATTCGATCAGGGTGTACTTCACATGAGCGAGAAGACGATGTTGGTGATCGTGGTCATGTTGATCCTTCTAGCCATGGTTTATCTAACTCAAAACATGATTACCTAATTCCACCATGGTTTATCTAACTCAGAACGATAAAACAGTAACGAATGCTCAGGTTGATGGTCATTCGTATTTGCTCCTATCAACCTTGTAAGTAAAAGTACGGAATCAATTTAATTGAAATATAGCTAAGCATATAATAAATTAAATTGGTCTAAGTACGGAATAAATTCAATTTAAATCTAGCTAAGCATGTAATCAAAATTAAATTGGGCTAAGTACGGAATAAATTCAATTTAAATCTAGCTAAGCATGTAATCAAAATTAAATTGGGCTAAGTACGGAATAAATTCAATTTAAATCTAGCTCAAGCATGTAATAAAATTTAAATTGGGCTAAGTACGAAATAAACTTACTTGACACCGTAGGGGAGATTTTGCAGAAAGTTGAGCTCATCATCGTTTCTCCGGTATGGACGTGGGTCGAGAGGTGCGAACATTGGAAGATGCTCCCATACCCACAGTTGTAGGATGAACATCGCAGCACCAGCTTGCTTTGCCCCAACCTTCGAGCAAGTACACAGCTCCCGGTATACGCCCGCTAGCACGGCCGATCCCCAACTCTTCTCTCCAATTGCATCCCAGTCACCAGTGAGCAATGGCAACCATATGCCTTGAATCCACCGGTTGGACTTGTCGGGGAACAAAAATCCACCCACCAAACCGATGAGGTAGATGCGGGCGTAGCGCTCGACTTGTTCTTCCGGTGTCTCGTCATTGATTTCCACCTCTTGCTGGATGTGAGATACCAGCCACGGGACCGACACTTGCCCCGCATTCAACGGTGGATGCCCCCGTCCTTGAATTGGTGTGGTGGTCGGCATGTCGAAGCCCAAACGATCACGTATGAGCGGCCCCCAACCTCCTTCGGGTTTGGTCGTGGAACCAATGATGGCATCTCCAGAAATAGGAAGCCCGGTGAGGATCGCCACGTCTTTGAGGGTGATCGTCATTTCCCCCTCCGGAAGGTGGAATGTATGGGTTTCGGGACGCCATCGTTCCGCCATTGCCGCAAGAAATGGCGCAACATTTCCAAACTGGTCCTCGCTATATAGGGCTCCAACCTTGGATGCCAAGCGGGCAAGTTATTGGTCCCTTTATGAACCACGGGAACAAGAGATTCCTAAAAAAAATAGGGAAAACATCAATTTATTAGATTAAATAAAGCAAAATAAAATATTAGAAAATAATAAAGTAAAGCAAGAATACTCATCAAATTACCGGATTGTTATCCCAAATGGCACGGGAGCGATGAGCTTCTTGATCGGTTAAGAGACTCGCATCCCTTGGGCCATAATGGATATACAATCGAGGATCGTATATCTCGGCACCCATCTATAAAAAAGCAATGAAATCAGAGATTGTTTTGATAAAAAAAAACTAAAAATCAAATTGTTTCGATTAAAAAAAATCATAAACCAAAAACCTACACGAAGAGCCTCTTCGTCCATTTTTGGCGGAAGCCGGACAGAGGTTCGACGGGTTTAGCTTTGTAAGGGACGGGAACTTAGCGGGACGGGGGCTTTAGGGTCAAACTCTAGTAATTCTTTGTGATGTGGAAGATCGGACTTAGCCGCAACCACAGAGCATACTTAGAACGAGACTAGAGCGGATAAATTGAGGGAGAAAGAAGTAAAATGTTTGTGGTGTGAGTTGAAAGTGAAAGGGGAAGGGTTATTTATAGTTGGGGGAAGGGGGGAAGGGATCTGCCGAGAATTAAATTCTCCCAGTGTTCACCGCGTCCGTCAGAAACGGTGAAGGCACCGCGTTTCTCGAGGACGGTGAAGAGGCGCGGATCGAGCGACGTGGCTCAGCGTCGGATCTGGAAAGAAAACCACGATCCGCGCCTCACCGCATCCAACGGCCACGGTGAACGCGCCAGCGACGCGGATCGCTGACGCAAACAAACACGGGGTATTCACCGTGTTTGTCTAACGCGGTGAATACCCCGCGTTAGTCCACGTCAGCGCCTTCACCGTGGACCATTAAAACGGTGAAGGCCTCACCGTTTTTGTTTAAAACGGTGATGTGTTCACCGTCTCTGTTTAAAACGGTGATACCTTCACCGTTTTAGACTAAAACGGTGAATACGTCACCGTTGTTTTTTAAAACGGTGAAATGTTCACCATTTTTCTCAAACGCGGTGATACCTTTCACTGCGTTTGTCAAAAACGGTGATGCTCAAACATGTGTACTTTTGGAAAAAAAATTATAACTTATATATTTTGGGGATTTTTTTTAAGAACTAGTGTACTTTGTGATTTTTTTCCCAACTTTAACTAGCTCTTCTAGCTTGATTCTAACATAGTTCCCTTTCACATTCTAGACCACCATCATTTCCAGCGGCTTTTCATGATGAATCTTCTTTACCTGCCAACATTTGAACGAAATGAACAAGCTAATCATAACACCATGTGAATTATCTTTGGACTACATTGTTCATGGAGTTATCGCATTCCCCTTGCTACTCTAAAGGATTTTCTCTTCCTTGTGCTCCAATCCAAGACTAGTTTCCCTGGAAATGAGAGGAAATGGTGTGTTGATTTGCAAAGAAGAAAGATTGCATGATGGTTGCTTAGGTAACTGTCAAAAGAATTGTTGTGTTGTTAAAGCCCAATATGAAGTTAGCTTAAAATATGTCGGACCCGTTAAGTTAGGCTCAATGACCTCGTTCGTAAGCTAACAAGTTGAGATATAGAATTCTCAAATTGAAAGGTAGTACTGATTTTTTTTTATTTACCATGAAGCCATGACTTGTTTTACAAATAATATGTCATCGATTTTATGACCGATTTGTAATATCTCCTAACCGCTGGTTTGTTGGTAAACCTTTAATCTCTCACTAATATAGTTTGATATCTGTACGGTTTTGACAACATTGCATAAGACTAATTATTCTAGTGATAAGGTTTGTTAACCAACAATGGGCATTGTTGGTTCAAGTGCTTAAACCTATAAGTTTTAGAGTTGTTTAAATAATTTTAATTGGCTCATAGGAATTTAGGTTGTTAATGGAAAGTTAGTGTTTAATAGGTGGTTAAAGATAATCAGGATATTTGTATTATTTTTAAATTGATAACTTAAAATCAAAATCCCTGCGGGTCACTCTCCTCGCCCATCATGAACATTAAGTCGTCGCTCTCTCTCTCACACACACATTGTCACCTCTTATAAATTTTATTAATGTTGGTGGGCTGAAAGTCAACGAATTTTTTTTGACATATTGTTTTTTTTTATGGGAACCTGTGAAAATTATATTAGAATGGTTCAACCGTTTACACATTTTTACTGTGGTTAATTTTTTTTTTATATAGGTATTGTTAATTACTTACGTTTTGTCTTAGTTTGTATCATTATTAATGGGCGGGTATAAACGTATCAATGTTTGAGAAAAATTATTAATAATGTAGTGTGGTTGACGATCATTATCAATGGTTTTGTTTGCATTTTAAACGAAACACAACATAACTATTAATAGTTTTTATTTTGCCATCAACATTTTGGGAAGAGAGGTATTAGTAACATGTACTATGAGTATTGCCCATTTAGATGCAGTTATTGTCAATGATTTTACTTGTATTTTCAATGCCAATACAACTTAGCTATTAATGATTAAGAGTGTCATTATCCATATTTTTATGTAAACTTTTATAATATTAAAATACTGATAAATATATTGAAATTATTAATAATGATGGGTATATCAATTATAATCATTGCATAAACATTAATAGTACCATTAAAAATATTAATAATGTTATTGGAAGTCGCTATGGAGTTATTGTCAATGATTTTATTTGTATTTTCAATGCCAATACAACTTAGTTATTAATGATTAAGAGTGTCATTATCCATATTTTTATGTAAACTTTATAATATTAAAATATTGATAAATATATTGAAATTATTAATAATGATAGTTATATCATTATAATCATTGCATAAACATTAATAGTACAATTAAAAATATTAATAATGTTATTGGAAGTCGCTATGGAGCGTGGATATTTTTTATTTCAAATTTAATTTTTTAAACATTAAAAGTCAATTCAGATTTCTAGTTTTAGTTTCGAATTTCCATATTAAATAACTGCCAAATTATGAAAGGAGAGTAGATTTTTCTTTTTAAACTAATATCTTTAAATATTAATAATATTATTTATTTTCTCATCATATCTCATTTATCTCTTTATGTAGTTACCGTTCATTCCACTCTTAGCAAAAGTTTCAAAACTTTTTAACTAATAGGTTTAATAGCATCCACATTAATATTTTGTCATATTGCAAATTCTACATGGCACACAATAATACAATATGCAATTGCAAAGAGTATTACACTAATGTAGGGGCACTTGTAAATATACAAGTTTTATTTAAATGAAATTGAAGATCCAAGCCACATAGGAAAATAATAAACTATAACTTATTTTTGCTTTGTTGAGTTATTTATTATAGAATCACTTAAATGCTCATATATGCAATTGCAATTCACTTGCAATTGATGTAAATGTTATGAAATAAAGTTGAGTTGAATAACATGTTAATAATAATTAGGTTTTGCAAATTACTTGACATATGGAATTTGACCCGCCAACAATGACAGGTTCAGTAGGTTTAATTAGGGCTGGGCATGCGGGTGGATCATTCACGCGTTTGGTCCGATCCACCCGCATTTGACCCGAAAGTCGTTATGTGGATGGATTTATGGGTGGGTAACGGGTGTACTGGGAGGCATCCGCCGGGTGATGGGTGAGTTGTGGGTGGATGCGCGGGTGACCCGCTCAACCCAACAGCAAAAAGAACAAAGTCGTTGGCGCTGAGGGGAGCGTGAAGACTTTGGACGGAAACTAGGGCTTCTCATGGAGATTGAACCTCAATGTCAATCTTCCAAATCGCGATCCCTCTTCTTTCCTTTATTTTTTTCTCCAATTCGTGTGCCTATATCACCTCTCTTTCCTTCGTTGAATTATTTTTCTTACTTCCCTGCACTTCCTCAATAATACAATTTCTATCCAATTTCAGAACCAATTCGACATATATTTTCCTAATCAGTCTCCTTGTTTTCGTCCGATAACTCTCTCCACCAATTATCATGTCAAGTTAACTCCTTTATAGTATGTATATTGTGATGTGGGTGAACCCGCAAACCCATCCGCATCATCCACCATCCGCCCGACCCAACCCGAGACTAAATGTGGATGAATAGTGATTTAAAAATTATCCATCTGTTTAAGCGCGGGTGGGTGCACTTTATGGTCAAAATCCAACCGATGTCCACCCTATGTTTAATTGATCCGCACTTTTATTAGTTTAAGGAACTTGATTGGCTCACAATGAAAGCTCAGCAACTTATATGACCAAAATGAAGAAGTTTAGGAACCTAATTGACCTTTTGCCCTTTTTTAAATTAATCAATGGCAGGATTATGAATGTGCATCATCATGAGCAAAAATGAATCGAAGCTCCGGAGTCAGCTCAGCACCAACTACCAGCCCCACAATCCACAGACATCGATGTCTTGCTGTCAGCCTATCTCCGTCACTTGATAATCATCAATGGCGGTAGTGAGTGAGTGATCTGTTTAGCACCCTAACCTTCCATCTGCCGCTGGTTACTATCTTCCTTGAACTCTACGTTTCGTTCTCTCCCTCCATCTCTTCTCTGCTTCAGCCGAATTTTAATTTCACGGAGGGGAGACGCTGAAGAATAATCTCACTAGCGAACCCAACCAGAGAAGAAGAAAAGCCAGCCACCAAGCAACAATGGCTGAAGCTTCGTGGCCCAGTGAAGCTGAGGTAATAGGTCACAGTAATGGCTGGGTTCAATCCCATTCGGTATTCTTCCAATTCGTTGTTTTGGACACAAGTATGTTTTTGGCGATGGTGATTCATTCGAATTTCTTATAGGTGAATGAAATGAGAAATCTGGTTTCTTCAATGGCTGGGAGAGACCCTGGTGAAGTTAGGATTGTGGCGTCTCCTTATCGTATTTGTCCACTGGGTGCTCATATTGATCATCAAGTTTGTATCTTTCCGATGTTCATTCAGTATTTCCATTTGGGTACTCTTCCTTTCTTCGACCCTCTCAATCTGTTCTTATCTTCTTTACTATTGTAGGGTGGAGCTGTTTCAGCTATGACGATTAATCGAGGCATATTGCTGGGTTTTATTCCCGCAGATGATGCAAAGGTAAGAAATAAAAAGAAAGACCAATGCCCCATTCACGTTTCAAAGTTACACACCGTAACCCGTGAGGCTTGGAAAGAAATAGCTACAGGGCATGCTTAAACTTCGTATAGTTCGAAAACCAATATCTACAGCATTTTATCACATGTGCATAGAGTGATATGAATGCTGAACTTCTTGTGTTGTACAATTGCTGCGTAATATGCTTTTTTTAAATGTGGAGGTTGTAACCGTACTTTGTTTGGTTTGCTTGGACTCCTTTGCATTTATCATATACTTCTAACTATTACAGTACAGAATGTATTCAGTGAATGTGAGAGTGTCGAACTAGGAATTTCCTCCTAAACTGAGCAGAGCAGTTTTTCCCTTATTGGTTTATGCTATGAGTACAAGTTGATGGCTTGAGCACTTGTTGCTGTAGGTTGTGTTGCGTTCAGGACAATTTGAGGGAGAAGTTCATTTCAGGTGTGTGAAAGTTTCTTTCCCCAATTTGGCTCAAGTGCATGAATGGAGATTTAAATGTCTTTATCAGATTATCTGGGTTTTTTTCATGTGATTGTTAAGATCTGGCATCTGCCGTTAGAAGAAGTTTAACAAACCCTTAAGCATCTTAGTTCTAACCGTGGGCAAAACATTGTATCAATCTCTTCTGCCAAACCAAGTACGAGTTTGTATCAAGTATGAGATTAACCTCTCCAGTTGGTTTTCATACAAACTTATGAGTGCCAACCAAGCAAGGAATAGGACAATGAGGTGTATGAGGAACCTATGAGTGGTAGGAACACATTTAGTTTTATAATTAGCTTGGAGAATCATCTCCCCACTTTCCAAAGTCCTATTTAATATTAGTCTCATGCCATTGACGAAAAGTGATGTTTTCTTGAAGTGCTATGCCCGTATGGGCAAATGGAATGGAAGCGAAAGGACCATTCTCTATTTTTCTGCTAGATTTCAGTTTTAGTTGGCCTTCAACAGAATTGAATGTTTTTATATTGGTTTTTCAGCGTAAGCGATGTTCAGCATCCTGTGCACAGCAGCAAGAAGGATGTGAATCACACAACTGACTCCCCAAACCGAAAGGAAGAAGATAGTCGATGGGGAAAATTCGCAAGGGGAGCTGTCTTTGCTTTGCAGAAGATGGGACACTCTCTTGATAGGGTAAGGAGAAAAATCTTGCTGTAAGTTATTGGGACTACTTTAGGAAAATCTCCTACTTAATTTTTCACTTGTGTTGGTCTTGCAGTAATGCCAGCTCGTCTCTTTTTCCTGCTCAATTTTCCCCCTTTGGAGTAGGATGAGTTACTGATTTGAAATTATATCAATACCTGTCTTTCACTTTTATCCTTTTTGACTTTTATGTGTATTTTGCCGGAGGACTGCTATAAGCTTTACCACGAGATGTTACCAAATGTAAAATCTAAGAACTTGTTACTTGAAACTCATTTGTAGGCTGTTTTTTTCACTTAGCCTCTTCAGTCAACCATTTCACCATATCTGTTGTCACTTCTATATTAATTGAGCTTAAGATATTGTAGAAGGTTCGTCTGTGAAGCTTATGGGGGAAACCAAGTTTAGCTCCGGATGCTTAAGTAACAATCAAGGGGAATGTTTTCCTAGTAGAAAAGAAAACAACCAACAGGAACTTGAAAATTAACCATTACAGGAGGAGGCCTGCCTTCATTTTTTTCTTTCAGAAAGCAGAAAACTTCAGAAAATATTGGGTAAAATATAATAATATATTCAATTATCCCATCCAATCAAAGGTGTAGTTGTAGAGTTAATAATTTCACGGTACCATTCCAGCTTTGATCACCTATTCCTGTTCTAGTTGAAATTAAGTATAACTTAGAGCAATGTTGTTGCTTCTATTTATCATTCTTGCAGGGAATCACTGGATACATCTGTGGTTCTGAGGGCCTTGACTGTGCAGGGCTCAGCTCTTCAGCTGCTGTAAGTGCACTTTTCTTCACCTACTATCATTCTGCTAAATCCAATTCCTTCGATCATGGTGCTTGAGGATAGTTGTCGGCCACCTGCAGAATGCACTGGAGACATAAGTACTGATTTAGAGTTCTGTATTTACAGTTTCTACAGATGAATGTCTAGTTGGGTTAACCAATATCTCTTGGCTACGATATTGAATTGGGCAGGGAGTTCCACTTGCATAGGGAATAAACTCAATAGCAGTTTTTGCTCTCATCCTGAAATTTAACAGAATGATGACGTAGGTTTTAAGCTTTGTGATAACTGGGTTGGTCTTTTTTCAATTTGCTTCTAAAAAGTTAAAATTCGCGAACAAGGCTATACTTTGGAGTTTGGGACTTAGACTAGCCTTTTCTTGCACCAGATGACCATTGTAGAGTTTCAATGGCCTATTATATAAGTTACTTTCATCTTCTCCTTTTGGCTATACCCTCTTTAATCCTGCTGTTTATGGTCCCTGTTGAGCCCGAGCCCTTTTTCATTGGAGTGGAATCCCCATGTTCATGCCACATTGATCCTCTGTTGTCATATTTGACAGGCTGGAGTTGCTTATCTGCTGGCTTTTGAAAGTGCGAACAACTTAACCATGTCAGAGGTGGAAAATATTGAACTTGACAGGTGGGGTTTGGTGGACACTAATTTGCTTAAAGTTTATGTTTGCTATTACCTTGTCATTAAGAACTTAATGAAAAGCCTCTTCAAGCAAGGAATTTGTGCTGTCCATGTTCAGGCTTGCCCTTTTCAGCTTGGCGAAGTTATTTATAGCCTCCTCACAAAGAAGTTTATGGTGTTTAACATGTAATATGAAGTTAACTTAGGAAGCTGAAATAAATATGTGCCTGCTGAAAGTAATAAAAGGTTGAACATTCAAAAAGCTCTTGACTAACTTGGCTGCATCTCTGCTGGTCCAACTGATAGAAAGAAACAGCTAATACTTTGAAAACTGAGAGCCTTCGTAATCTCGTGAATCCTGCTAAAGTGAATAACTTCTTTTGCACATTAGTCCTGGAAACTGGCCCAACTATCTGTTTGTTTGTCAACTATTAAACAGGGACCAGATATAAGTCTTCTAAACTATCATTTCCTTAAAGTAGCCATCAGATTCTCTAGATAGCCAGTTATCAGCTTAGCTCTCATGAACCCTCAAATGTCAAGACTTGCGACTGTTAGACTCATAAAGTGTGTAGCTGATCATTGAGGTAACCTTTTGTAGAAAGTTGGAAATGTGCTTTCAACTTTGTAAAGATGCAGGGGCTTGCGGAGACATATTTCTAGGATCCATGAGTAGAACTGTGGACAATTCACTACATATATTTTGAGAACTGCTGGTCTCTTATTTATCGGTACCAGAAAATTGTTTTCCCAAATCTTTATTCTCTGCTAATGCAGGTTGATTGAGAATGAATATTTGGGTCTGAGAAATGGCATATTGGATCAATCAGCAATATTGCTTTCAAGTCATGGTTGCTTAACTTACATGAACTGCAAGGTAAAGATTGAGTACCTACTCCTTCGAGTGCTTGTCTTCAGTTCAAAATCATATTTCTGTGTACTATGGATTAATTTGATTGCCTTAAATTAGTAAGCTGCGCTCAATTTCCTGTCATGTCATCACCCATTTCTTGGGTTGGAAGTTATCTGATGCATACTTCTCTGCAACTGTACATTCTTTACCGTCGATTCTTCTTGTTGAATTTGTATTACAGGCTCTTTTGACTCGCAACCTTTCTTTTTCTACTTTTTACTTTTTCATTTCCCCTAATCTTTTATTGTCAGCTGAATGGTGTCTTACTGTCAAGTGTGGTATTTGTAGACCAAAGAGCACGAGCTTGTACGTCCGTTCAAACTGCAGAAAGACCATCAAAGTGATCTGCAGAAATCATACAAAATACTGCTAGCATTCTCAGGCTTAAGGAAAGCTTTGACCAGCAACCCTGGTTACAATCGCCGGGTTGCAGAGTGTCAAGAGGCGGCTAGGGTTTTGCTTAAGTATGACACCCCCCTTTTACTCTACTAAGATTCTGACATGTGGATCTTATGATGAAGTCTATAAAATCCGTTCTTCTTAACCTGATTTTGTTAAGCTCTGGTTAATTGCCTCCAAGCCAGAGTTCACTAAATGTTGAATAAAAAATTCATTGCACAAATTACCGAGACTAGGCTGGTCTATGTTTCCGAAGCCTGACATAAATGGTCAGACCTCGAGTAAATGTTGTTTTGAATAAAAACACTGTGATGGTGCTGTAGAATGTGATAAGGGTTTTGTAGCAGCGTTCTTGTCTCTGGGCTGTAAATTGAGTTAAATCGAAGAAAGCATGCTATAATCCTTCACTGATCATTTTTCCTCTTTCCCTCTTGTCTCAATCTGTAGAGCTTCTGGAATGGACAAAGTGGAGCCACTCCTGGGCAACGGCAAGTAGACATTCTTTCCAGCTCTGAGTTCTATTTCCTTTAGTTTGTAGTGATGGAATTTCGCAGGCTTCACTGACACCCCCCTTGTTTTCAAACAGTTGAATTCAAGGCATATGAAATGCACAAGGTAATTAATTCGCTTCATCCCTAATTTAAAAGCTCATGACTTTCTTGGGAACATGAAACATTACCTAGCTCATTTAGGCATGTCATGGAAGTTTCTCTACCAAAGAAAAAGATGGCCTAGCACTGCACTCATTCATTGACCTCTATTCCTATCATCTGTAGGATAAATTGGACTCCGATCTAGCCAAACGAGCAGAACATTTCTTCTCAGAGAATATGCGGGTAAAGAAAGGTATTTGCTTTTGTCAATCTGCCTTGCAAAGTGTTAAAACTGCAGGTGTCATTTTGCTCTTTTCAGAACATCTTCTAATATCTAGCCGATGTGATGTGACACAGGGCTTGAAGCTTGGACTTCTGGAAACTTGGAAGAATTCGGCAGGCTTATTTCGGCCTCCGGTTTAAGCTCCATTAAGAACTATGAATGCGGTAGGCCTCTTTAACTGTCAACTTGCTCTATCCCCCTCTAAGATAAGTGCGTATTATAGTACTTGCGATTGATTTGATTCCGTTACAAAAATGAAAGAACTAATCAAGATATCATTACCAAAATTCTACATAGTCCTAAGTCCTGTATCAGTTAAAACTTCATGCAGAGCCGAGAGAGGTATTGTTGAGTCACATGCTGCTGCTGGTTGATTAGGAAGATGGTTAGGTTTGTTTTTAGTAGTTGGGATTGGTGATTGAAAACCTAAGCTAAGCTTCATTTTTTCAAATGCATTAATGACTGATTGTGGCCTGTTGAGTTATATCAAGAAAAGGCATGGTCTCCTAGTTAGTGTATAGTTTCTTGTAGCCTCACCAAAACAGGAAGGAAATTAGGAAAAATTAGAAGAACAGATAAGCTACCGTTTTCATTCTATACTCCATACTATAATCCAGAAAAAGGTTTCACATCACATCACATGCATCTATCTAATCTATGAGCCTTTTTCTCTCAGACCTAAAAACTTAGCTTTCTTATCGTTTTCGTGCTAGGAATTCCTTTTGGATGCCTCTGAAACAAGCAATTTGTATCAATTTCACTCTGAATCAAACATTCCATTTGTATCAAGCATCAATTGGTTCTTGGTCGTGCCTCCGGTTGATCAAAATAACAAACTTTTCGATCGAATTGTATCCCAATTTCTATTGTACATTTAAAAATTTAATTTTGGAACCACACTAGTCACGTAATTTCATCGTTTCGTCGATCATAGAAAAGTTAAACAATCGACCGACCACCTAATCATTTACTTGTTGTAATAAATTCTTTCACAACACACTTCCACTTCTACTATTTGCTACAGTTGACAGCCAACTTTCCAATCGACACTTTTCCCATCTGTTGCATTGAATCAAACAGAAGATAGTTAGGTAGAAACCAGTCTGTTCATTATCAGCTCTTATTCGATCGTGTTGGAACATATGGTTGGTTGGATTTACGAGTTGTTACTTACTTACTTACTGTTGCTTTCTGGGGGGGATGATCACTGATTCACTGCTTCTTTTGGTGAAGGTTGCGAGCCACTGATACAACTGTACGAGATTCTGGTGAAGACACCCGGAGTGTACGGAGCCAGGTTCAGCGGGGCTGGCTTCAGAGGCTGCTGCATTGCCCTCGTCAGCGCTGATGTGGCCGACGAGGCTGCTGCTCTAGTGAGAGCCGAGTACGCCAAGGCACAGCCCGAGCTGGCCGCCACGATCCACCCAGATGCTGCAGCTTTGATATGTGAACCTGCAGACTCTGCTCGTCTCATCTCGCCTCTGCTGTAAAAAAAAATTTGCTCTCGTTCGTCGATCTGATCAGCCATCCCATTGCGAACGAATCATCGCGAGTAGTGGACATTGATCCGACTGCGTCAAACTTAGAACGACGCTGCATACGTACTACCAACATTCATTATTCTTAGCCTTCCTACAAAGGTTCATCATTGGATTCGATTCTTTCAGAGGGTTAAACGATACACATTACTGTTGTTTCCATTACGAGACCCCGTGACCTTTGTACGGAGAGACTCCAGGTTCTATTTGTTTGTTTAATTTTTGCTGGGTGTACTGTTCGATCACGTGTTAAATGTGAAATAAGAGATGATGAGCTGGATGGAAAAAGCTAGTTGGGAGTGTTGAAAAGTGAAGCTGCTGGAGGCAAATACTAGGACTAGAAGTCTAGAATGCACTTTTTTTTTTTTTTACAAAGTAATTGCTTGCATTCCATTTTGAACGATCGATTACAAGAGAAATCAACAAGAAAACTGGAATGCGCGTTGAAGGGGGGAATTTAGAGATGGACTTAATTAATATAATTAAACCCTAAACCCTAGGAATTAGAGCTAATGCCCTGGTCAAGGGAAGGATCCGATTCCAAAAACAACTTTATCCTACAGCCTTTGCTTCCCACTAAGAATATTCAAATCATAAACCCTAAATTAAATCTGGTCCCATAGTATTAGATATCGGGGAAAAAAATGGATACACTGTTGAAGGTTCTGAACTGAAGCTGGAAGTCCTTTTTCCTCTGCGGATTCGGATTGCTTGAAGATAGTTCGTTTTAAGTTGGTACGGTGTCGTTTTGAGTCTGTTTAAAGTCAAGCCACGTTTGTGGCTAAGTGTCTGTCTGGTCCTTTATGTTTGAGTTTAGTCAGTTGAGTCATTTTTAGGCTGTTTGATTAGTTGAGAGATTCCACCAGAAGTGTAGGTTGTGCAAGCTGATTAGTAGGGCTTGCTGTTAGTAGTTGAGAGCATTGAGGCCGAACGTTGTGGCTCAATTGCTAAGTATTTAAGGTCTGCCTTTTATCATCAATAAAATTGTCAGTTTGCAATCCTTGTGTTTATCATTGTGGTATCAGAGCACAAAAGCAGGCTGTAACCGAGTGATTAAGGAGAGTTGAGTGAAAGCATATTGTGATCTGGGTTAGGGAAACACGAGAGTTTCTTGAGAGGAAAAACAGATCAAAGGGGAGTGAGAAAAGACATCATGAGTGATAATGGTAGCAGTGCTCAGGTTTGCATCCCAAAATTTGATGGGGATTATGAGCATTGGACACTGCTGATGGAGAACCTGCTGAGGTCCAAAGAGTACTGGACTGTGATCAGCCCTGGATTCAGAGAGCCTGCAGCAGGAGAAGAGCTTACAGCTGCTCACACTAAGAGTCTAGAAGAACTGAGGTTGAAAGATCTAAAGGCAAAGAATTACCTGTTCAGCAGCATTGACAGGACACTGCTGAAGACCATTGCCAAGAAGGGAACTGCAAAAGAGCTATGGGACTCCATGAAAGAGAAGTTTCAAGGCAGTGCAAGGGTGCAAAAGGCTCAGTTACAGGTACTTAGAAGGAAATTTGAACTGCTAGAAATGAAAGAAGATGAATCAGTTTCTGAGTATTTTGCTAGAGTTATGGTTGTTGCTAATACCATGAGAAACTGTGGAGAAGATATGCCTGATGAGAAGATTGTTGAAAAAATTCTAAGAACTCTGACTGACAAGTTCAACTATGTAGTCTGTTCTATTGAGGAGTCAAAAGACATAGAACTCCTAACAGTTGATGCTCTCCAAAGCTCTCTTCTGGTTCATGAACAAAAGTTCAACAAGAAGTCTGCAACAGTTGTAGCTGAAGAAGAGCAGGCTTTAAGAGTTACTCATGACTATGGTAGAGGTGGGAGAGGTCAAGGAAAAGGCTTCTATGCTGGAAGGGGAAGAGGAAGAGGAGGTAGAGGCAGGAACATGGACTCTGTGGAATGCTACAAATGCCACAGATTGGGGCATTTTCAATATGAATGTCCTCAGTGGAATCACAATCAGCAGGCACACTTTGCAGCATCTGGAAACATGCAAGATAGAAGCTATGGAGACATGAGTGATGATATGCTATTGATGGCCTGTGTTGAGTCTGAAGACTCTTATGAGTGGGAAGATGAAACACTAGGTCTAATGGCCCTGCTTGATCATGTCAGAGAAGACACAAGTCATGACTGGTGGTTCTTGGATTCTGGCTGCAGCAACCACATGAGTGGTGACAGAAAGTGGTTCACCAGCATAGACACTAGCTTTGCTTGCAAGGTTCGACTGGGAAACAACTCCAAACTGGAAGTTGCTGGAAAAGGAGAAGTCAAGATGATGGTAAATCAAAGGAGCATGACCATACAAGATGTGTTTTATGTCCCTGGACTTAAAACCAATCTGCTAAGCATTGGACAGTGGCAGGAGAAGGGGCTGGTGTTTGTGATCAAGGAGGGAATCTGCAAGATCTATTATGAAGAGAAGGGATTACTACTGCAGACTGAAATGAAGACAAACAGAGTGTTTGTGCTTCATGCTGAGCACAACTCTGGGAATCAACATCTTCAGTGTCTCAAAACTGATGCTGCCATAGATCCTGTTCTAACATTATGGCATCGCAGGTTTGGACACATGGGGGTGGCAAATCTACAACTCCTACAGAAAAAAGGGTTTGTGAAAGATCTTCCAAAGCTGAGAGGAGGAATTGGAATATGTGAAACCTGCATGCTTGGCAAGCAATACAGAAAACAATCCCCAAGAAAAGTCAATGGAGAGCAACAACAGCCTTGCAACTGGTACACGCAGATCTATGTGGGCCAATTACTCCTGTGTCAAATGGAGGAAGGAGGTATATTTTTACATTAATTGATGATTACAGCAGGAAGATGTGGGTGTTCTTCTTGACAGCAAAATCAGACACTTTAGAATGCTTTAAGAAGTACAAACTACAGGTTGAGAAGGAGATGGATCTGGAGATTAAGTGTCTGAGAACAGATAGGGGTGGTGAGTTCATGTTAAATGAACTCAAACAGCTGTGTGATGAAGCTGGAATAAGAAGGCAACTCACTGCTGCCTTCACACCCCAGCAGAATGGAGTAGCAGAAAGAAGAAACAGAACTTTGATGAATATGGTCAGATGCATGCTAAAGGATATGCATGTTCCCTCAGGATTCTGGGCTGAAGCAGTAGCTTGGACCTGTCATGTGCTCAACAGGAGTCCAACTTCAGCAAATCAAGGCAAAACACCTCAGGAACTATGGACTGGTAAGCCTCCCTCTGTGTCACATTTCAAAATCTTTGGTTGTGTTGCTTATGCACACATACCAGATCAACACAGAAGGAAGCTAGGTGATAAGAGTGAGAAATGTCAATTTCTTGGTATCTCAGCAGAATCCAAAGCCTATAAACTATACAATCCTAGAACTAACACAGTTGTAGTGAGTAGAGATGCTGTGTTTGATGAAACTAAGGGTTGGATCTGGAACTCAGGCTCATCATCAGATCAAACACAACTGGTCTGGGAAGGCAGTGATGAAGATTGGGAAGATTCTGATCATGAAGAAGAAGAAGAATCTGAGCAGCCAGCAAATTCAGATCATGATCCAGAAACTGCAGGAGCACAACCTGATAGTCCAAAAACTCCAGGTGACACTGAAGGAGATAAAGAAGAAGAAGAAGAAGAAGAAGAAGAAGATCCTAGTGCTCCAACAGATGTGCTGGGACTTCCTAGCACCAAGAGGATCAGAAAGCCACCATCCAGGCTTGCAGGTTATGACTGGAAGACTCATCTAGTTGTGCCTGACTGCAATTTTGCAGTAGAAGACTGGATAGCATTGGTGGCCATGGGTGATGATCCACAGACTTATGAAGAAGCATGCAAGGATCCTAAATGGAATGAAGCAATGAAAGCTGAAATGCAAGCTATCAAGAAGAATCTTACATGGGAGCTCACTGGTCTTCCAGCAGGATGTCAGGCAATAGGGCTCAAATGGGTTTACAGAACAAAGCTGAAGGAAGATGGAACACGAGACAAGTTCAAAGCTCGTTTGGTGGTGAAAGGATATGCACAGAAGGAAGGCATTGACTACACTGAGGTGTTTGCCCCAGTAGCAAGGTGGGATACTATCAGAACATTCTTGGCACTAGCTGCTCACCATGGCTTGACTGTATACCAGCTAGATGTAAAGAGTGCCTTCCTACATGGGGAACTCACTGAAGAGATTTATGTTGAGCAACCTCGAGGATTTGAGGTTGCTGGGGAGGAAAGCAAAGTGTACAGGCTGCATAAAGCACTGTATGGGCTTAAGCAAGCTCCAAGGGCGTGGTACAGCAGGATTGAGGCCTATTTTGAGAAGTCTGGCTTCCAGAAGTGCAATTATGAACATACATTGTTCATTAAAAGGTCAGGATCTGACATTCTCATTCTCAGTCTCTATGTAGATGATTTGATGTATGCAAGTAACAATCCTGTGATGGTTGAGGAATTTAAAGCCTCTATGCAAGCTGAGTTTGAAATGTCAGATCTAGGTAAGATGAGGTATTTCTTAGGAGTTGAAGTTATCCAGAAGAATGAAGGAATATTTATCTGTCAATCCAAGTATGTACGAGAACTGCTAGAAAAGTTCAAGTTGTTGGAATGCAACTTTGTGCATAATCCCTTCACACCTGGGTTGAAGATAACTAAAGCTGGAGATGGAATTGCTGTCAACCCTACTGAATACAAGAGATTGATTGGAAGTTTGCTGTATGTCACAGCTACACGACCAGATATCATGTTTTCTGTTTGTTTGCTAAGCAGATATATGGATTCTCCCACCAGGCAGCATATATTAGCAGCAAAACGAATACTCAGGTACTTGAAAGGTACTATGAATCATGGTATCTGGTATAGAAGAAGTCATGGGGAAGAGGATCAGAGGTTGACAGGATATACAGACTCAGATTATGCTGGGGATTCTGATGACAGAAAAAGCACTTCTGGTTATGTGTTTTTCCTTACAGGAGCTGCTGTTTCGTGGGCCTCCAAGAAGCAACCAGTTGTGACACTTTCAACAACTGAGGCAGAGTTCGTTGCAGCATGCTTCTGTGCTACTCAATGCATCTGGCTTAGGAAAATTCTGGAAGAAATGAGATGGAGCAGCAGTGTGCAGGGTGGAACAACAATCTTGTGTGACAACAGCTCCACCATTAAGCTGGCTAAAAATCCAGTTATGCATGGGAGGAGCAAACACATAGATGTTCGCTTCCATTTCTTGAGAGAGCTAGTGAAGGAAGGGGTTCTGGAACTTGAGTACTGCAGAACCAACGAACAAATTGCAGACTTGATGACCAAGCCTCTCAAGCTCGAAGCCTTTCAACTCTTGAGGAGCAAGTTGGGGATATGTGATCTTGAGGATCTGGAAGCTAAGGAGTGATCAGAAGAAGATTAACCGGCTTCAGTTCAGGGGAGGATTTTGTTGAAGGTTCTGAACTGAAGCTGGAAGTCCTTTTTCCTCTGCGGATTCGGATTGCTTGAAGATAGTTCGTTTTAAGTTGGTACGGTGTCGTTTTGAGTCTGTTTAAAGTCAAGCCACGTTTGTGGCTAAGTGTCTGTCTGGTCCTTTATGTTTGAGTTTAGTCAGTTGAGTCATTTTTAGGCTGTTTGATTAGTTGAGAGATTCCAGCAGAAGTGTAGGTTGTGCAAGCTGATTAGTAGGGCTTGCTATTAGTAGTTGAGAGCATTGAGGCAAACGTTGTGGCTCAATTGCTAAGTATTTAAGGTCTGCCTTTTATCATCAATAAAATTGTCAGTTTGCAATCCTTGTGTTTATCATACACAATTCAAATAATACAGTTTTGTCTTATTTTTTGTTATGAAAAAAATCATAAAGGTGAAAACACCAACATCAAAGGTGTAACCGAGTTGAAGGCAATTAATGAGATGATCGATATTGTTTTTTATGTGTACAATTATCCGAACCCAAATAGATCCATTTAAGTCCGAGTCAAATGAGTTTACCCAAATCGAACCCAATTTAAATTCGAGTTCAAAATCATTAAAAATACATATAAATCTATTTGAATCCGACCCAATATTCATATATTTCATAACAATTTGACCAAATGATCCAAGTAACGTTATCATTCCTACATTTTAGTTTGCAAGAGTGTAGAAAACGTCACCCCTTAATAAATTGACCTGATAATTGGTTGGCTCATGCATGCATATATATCTTCATAAAAGCGCGTGATCGGTAAGCTAGCCGGCGACATGCATGCTGCTGATTATATTTACAATCAAGTATTGACCACGTTAAAATATTTGATTCGGAACCAACTTTATTGTTCTTCTACGTTTAGCTGACGATGAACTCCATCGAATTAGATCCAAAAGTCAAGATAATTTACATTAATCCACATTTCTATTTAAAATAGCACAGTTACGTACCGGCTTAGAAATTTTATGATGCATAATTTTTCAAAGTTCCCTTGATTGATCACGACAGACACTATTTTTCTGCTAAACGTTGGAGGTGAGGTAAGTCGGTAGCCTACCGTTCTTTCCATTTGCAAACGTTGAGTCCTATTATAAATGTACCGCGCGTATGACTTGGCAGTAACATTATAATTGGTGTCTTTAGTAATGGTTACTAAACTCGAATTAGGTCGGTAAAATTTTACATCCCAAACAAAAACATATATTTTGTAAAAATAACCCTCCAAAAGTCAAGTCAATATATAAACAAATGTTTACGTTTGCAGTTGTATTCACAATCACAATATGAAACTTGGTGCTCATCTTCAAGCATTATAGAATACGAAAATGAATCAATTTTTCAAAGTTGGTTGGATTTGTACGTCTTTAATTTGGAGAAGATAGATCGAGGATCGTGACAGTTCCCTGGCTATAAGGTGCCATTGCCATATTTTGATGCTGACCCGGCCATCCCCATGATTGTGATCTTGTACCAACTATATTTGTGTTGTCATTAATTACAAAGTGCACACAGTTGATTAAGACAAATAAATTGGTTTACTTTTCTCTTTGGCCTTTCATCTCTCTGTGTGTATATAATTATACATACACGGAGAGTTCTACCAAATCAGTGTGAAAATATGGGATATACCACAATAGAATATGATACTATAACCTAATCTTTAATTATTGAAATCTAGGTCTTAATTTTCTGAATCTTATGCATTAAGATTAATTTAATCATAAACAGTAATCAACGATTATGATTCGTCGAAATACATATATGCACCATCGTAAAGTTTACGATTTATGATTTAAATAATCAGGACCTAGAATTCACTCATTACGAGTTGAGGCATATTCCTTGTTGCTATGACTTGAAGAGTATGGTGAAAATGCTATCTCCTATCGGTGGACATATCTAACACACATCGTATTAATAAAACACATAAATCTATGTGCTCTTTACTTTTTTGTATTGCAATTTCTCAATCCGTTATAACGTAGTCAAAATATGCAGGGAATACCGTCCATAAAAATTCATCCGCACAAAGTCACTAACAGTAATAATATTCTGCAAAATCAATTTTGTGGTGAGAATAAAAAAAAAAAGAACCATACAAATCAAATTGATCAAATTTGTGGTGAAAACTGGCCCTTAATTCTTAAAACATTCTTTATTACTGCCAAAAGTGAAAACATAAACATTCCTTAGGGCTTCCATTTTCTGGTTGTCGTGGCGTGCTGTTTGGAATCACCAGGCCGGACTAGACTAATTACCGACGTGCTGCTTACTAGGCTTTGCTTTGGACAGTGGAATGAATCCTTAATTACGTACCTAAGTACAATTATTCTTTAATTTGGACCTCAATCCGATTGCTATATGCTTGTAGTTTTACAACAATTCCGGGTTCGTCGTCCTTGATCCCCAGTGGAAAACCAGTTGGCCAGCCACGTCAGGCAAAGCTTCTGTGCTCTGTCTACTAATTCACGGTTTACGCGGAGATTAGCTGTTAATTAAATCCTCCCCATCGCCTAATTTAGTCTCATGGCTTCTCCCGTGTAGTTATCTAGTTGTCATAGGATGATAACAACATTGACCACACTCTGAATTCCAACTTGCAATAATTATATTTAATAATTACAGCAAAAACTTTGCTACAATCACCGTGATTTGGAGAAAATAGACGACATTTTGCTTAAAATGGTCTACTGCTTATGCCCTAATGACCGATCGGATGCCACAATTTCCTTATTACAACGAAACTGCACCATTACAGAGAAAAATTTAAGATCGACGGCTCCAATATTGCAACGGTCGACCAGCTAACCATTAACAATGTTGGAACAAGAGTCTATCAAAAGAAAGTTTCAATACTGAATGGGAAAAAAAGTGATAACCTAATGGATAATTGAATCTAACTAGTTGAAAGATTGAGTGTTACTAGTTGAAGGAAAACCAAAACAGGAGAAATATGAATAGATATTGTAAGAAATTGAGATTAAATGGGCTAAAAACAGGACGAGCGGGGGAAAGTAGATACCCATGCCCGCTCCACGCTACAGCTGGTCAGGTCGGGTAATCTACGCCAAGGTAGGTTCAAATTACCATCCATATTGTTGAAGAACAAAAGACGTCGGCGAATATCAAAAGTAGTTGCTCATACAATACTAGTAGATTAACAAGTTGACCATGCATGTTGTTCAGTTGACCTTTAAGGTGTGCAATCCATAGGTTCATCTTCTTTAGAGCACTTTTAATTTGCAGTGTTGGTTAATGGTTGGAGTATGAAGATATCCTTGGTCTTAATCGGGTGATCTTTCCATAGGACGGTCTATCAATTTCTTTCTGAACATCAAAATACAATGTTTATGGTTGGCTTCCCATTGATCACAACTTTATAGTGGTCCATGACCTCTCTCGTTTTAACAAAACGAGTATATAATCCGAATCTGATCAACCATTTTCCGAAATCGATTGACTGTTTATCCAAGATACGATAACTTGAAACTTGGAATATAACTTGAAACTTGAAAGACATCGTGACACACCCTAAATACTATATCATTACTTCACGCACTGAGAATTTGGTAGTGGAGAACTGGAGATTATAAGCCGCAGTCAGATGTAATTTGCCAAACAAAGGCAAACGGAAGTTCGCTTTCTGCTTCCTGCAACATAAAAAATGATGACGCGTGGATGTCGTTTTGGGTTTAAATCAAATATAATAATAACAAATTGACCAAAGATCATACGGTTGCTCAATGATAAACGTCGGGCCATCAAAATTCAACACTTAAATTGCATGTTGTCGTTGACCATAAAGGCATAAACCAACAAATATCTCCACGTGGCTCCAACATAACACCACAATAATGTATTTAGCATTTCATTAATTATATCAGTCCATCGTCCTTAAGGCGTAAACGTTGATTAATCAAATTAAACCTTCTCCTCCCTTCTCTTCACTATTCACACTCAAACCCACACGTTTCCACTACAAAACAAAAAACCACACTATTATGTACAACTCATTTCCCACACACCACTATATATACAAATTCCCTTCCGTCCCCTTCGTCCATTACCTTCTCCCTCCTGATTACGCAATCCAATCCACTCCTCAGCTCGCCGGCAATCACTCCGATGTGGACTTCCGTAGCCGACCTGTTCACTCCGACCTCTCTCTTCCTCTTCCTCAACCTCACCATCGCCGCCATCGCCATCACCTCCCGCAAGAACAACAACAACAAGCACCCTCCTCATGCCTCCTCCCCGCTTCTCCACTCCGACCACTACTCCGACGACCGCCACCGCCATTTGAGGGACGACGGACCGTCGTCCCACCCATCAACACCCACCGCGCGCGCTCTCGAGCGGGCCTCCTCCCTTTTCAAATCGATGAACAGCCACTTCTCCCCACTCCGTAGATCCGGCGGACCCGACCCGCCGGAAACAGAGGACCACGGCCACCACCATCTCTTCGCCGACGACGACGGATCGTCATCTCTCCCGGCCAGTCCCATGGCGCGGGGGCTGGAGCGGGCGTCCTCTCTCCTCAAATCAATCAACCACTTCTCCCCGCTGCGTAGATCCAGCGGACCCGACCCGCCGGAAACAGAGGACCACCACCACCATCACCATCTCTTCGCCGACGACGACGGATCGTCGTCTCTCCCTGCCAGTCCCATGGCGCGGGGGCTGGAGCGGGCCTCCTCCCTTTTCAAATCCATGAACCACTTCTCCCCGCTGCGTAGATCCAGCGGACCCGACCCGCCGGAAACAGAGGATCACCACCATCTCTTCACCACCGACGACGGGTCGTCGTCATCCTCGTCGCCGGCATCATCTCTCCCGACCACCCCGACCGCGCGGGCGCTCGAGCGGGCATCCTCCATCTTCAAGTCTCTCCACCACTTCTCGTCCCCTCTCGGCAGGTCCGACCCGGAACCCGGACCCGACCACCTGGTGAAGCGGAGCGGGGCGGCGGCGGCGGGAGGAGGGGGCAGGAGGGCGGCGACGGGGAAGATGACGAAGTCGGCGAGCGAGAAGTGCACGGCGGAGGTGGTGGCGGCGGTGGCGGTGGAGGAGGAGAAGGAGGAGGAGGAGAGGCGGCGGCCGGCGACGGTGAGGCTGCAGAAGGCGGTGTCGATCGGGGACGACCACGGGGTTGACTCGAAGGCCGACGACTTCATCAACCGGTTCAAGCAGCAGCTCAAGCTGCAGAGGCTCGACTCGCTGCTAAGGAACAGAGAGCTGCTCCGAGCCCAGCAGCAGCAACACAGCTGAAACACGAGGGAGTGAAAATTACCTTTCGATCCTCCCTTTGTTTAGGTAGGGGGAAAAAAAATACTTTTGTTTCTATTTCTTGCTCCTCGCTTCCAATAGAGACGGGGGCAGAAGGGTAATTTGGCCTTTTATATCTGTGAAAAAAGGGCCAAACGGAAGGGTGTATTGGTCACTGAAAAGTTACGCCGGTGGTGGATCAAGGGATGTTGTAGAATTTGGTTTATTCTTTTTTTTTATTTATAATATGTATTTTTTCCTTTATTATTGGCTAAATTACACGTTTGGTCACTCAAATTATATAAATCTTTCACGTTTGCCACCCGAATTACTTTTCTTTCTTATTCGCCACTAACTTTACGAATCGTTTCACCGTAGCCACCCGCCGTCCAATTCCGTTAAAATCATCCTACGTGGCAGTCAACCAAAGCCTTTGACCGTTAGTTTTGATGACGTGGCAATTAAAAAATAATATAAAAATAAAAAATAATATAAAAATAAAAAATAAAATCATTTTTATATTATTTCCAACCTTGCCATTCTATACTTCGTTTCTTTTCCAGATCTGGTCCTCCAACCACCTCCCAGCTGCTTGGGTTTCTACTTCACAAGACTACTCAGATCTTATATTTCGAAGTGCGATTGATGAATGTCTCTACATTGTTTTACCTGGATTATCAGCTCGGAATCGGATCGCGGTCCATCCTGCGGTGGGGACACTCATTGTGTTCCTCTCCACCGGATCAACCAAATTGAAGCTACTCAGATCTTTACCCTTGTCGAAATTCCCCAATCCTTTTCCCACCACGAAGAAATTGAATCCATGGAGATGAATTGGATGGCTCTCCGGCGCGATCAAGCTGGTCCCCTGAAGGACGACCTCCACGGTCTCGTTAAACCTTAGCCGGTACACCTTCGTCCCGTTCGTGGTCTGCAAATTCGCCGGCGGGTTCCCCGTGTAATTGTACGGCGAGGGCGGGTTCGCCGGGAAATCGTCGGTGAAGATCCCCTGTAATTTGAAGTAATGGGCCTGGAGCAGAGCCACGGTGGGGAGGACGAAGGAGACGTTGTTGATGTCGGCGACGGTCTTGGTCCCGTTGACGCAGGTCGGGCAAGGGTTGATTCCGACGCCGATTGCGAAGAGGAGGGAGTGGTCGACGGTTTGGGGCACGGCGGCGGGGTAATTTGGGGAATTGAGGCTCCTGAGGCAGCCGGCGAAGGCGGCGGTGACGGCGGTGGCGTTGATTGGTGGAGTGGCGGTGAGGTGCGGTGGGGAAAAGGGTTGGATCCCCTTGTAGCGGAGGAATCCGACGGCGGTGGCGTTGTCGACTGTGCCTTACGTTGTTAGCCCCGAAACCGACTGCTCCAAGTAACTAAACTCCCTCTCTCCTTGCCCTTGATTTTATTTTTTATTTTTATATTATTTTTTAATTGCCACGTCATCAAAACTAACGGTCAAAGGCTTTGATTGACTGCCACGTAGGATGATTTTAACGGAATTGGACGGCGGGTGGCTATGGTGAAACGATTCGTAAAGTTAGTGGCGAATAAGAAAGAAAAGTAATTCGGGTGGCAAACGTGAAAGATTTATATAATTTGAGTGACCAAACGTGTAATTTAGCCCTTTATTATTATTTACGCTGAGGAGGTATGTTTAGTGGAAATAGGGAACTTTGAAGTGTCCAAAACTTGGGATTGAGGTAAAGCGATAATAATAGCTTTAAAATATTTTATTTATAGTTAATTTATAATCAAGTTCTTAAAGATGCTTCTTAAGAGCCATATATAGAATAGAAAGTGTGTTGTGCTTGCCTTCTAAAGAAATACAAACTTTTTTTTGGAAATAAAGTTAAAGTATATGGACATGAGATTTGTTTCATCAAGTGTGTACACTTTTATAGTCCATTACTATTCATAAAATCATAAATGGTTCTGGTGTGAATTAATGTGTCTTTTTTATTCGAACATGTCGATCTAGTATCAATTGATTCGTCAAAATAAATAATAATATACATAGATCTAATAGCATTTCATTCGAGAGGAGGGATGGATCATGTAACGCATAATTCATATACTTAATCGTGTAACTTAAACTAGGTTGCAGTGCACTTGTCAACCACCTAAATCAAATGTGTATAGCTATACTTAGCTGGGTTGCTTTGGCTAGTCTAAGTATTGGGACTCTTGATATATATGGTTTAATTACTATGATGATCATCTTGTTTTGACTACTCGTGTTAAAAAAACAAAAAATTATAAAGCATTAACCACTTTGTCTTGATTGTTATAAACCAGTTAACTCGATTTGTTGGAAGAGGCATTCAGTTGTGGATTTTATCTCATTTACTAGCAAGGCACTCAAAGCAAAACAAATTATATGAGATTATTAAAGTTTGTACAAGTCCGAATATGATGTACTTAACAAACGAGGTAATCGACATTCGAATAGAATACCTCTAAATTAACAAAATACCCAATATTGTATTAAAAACCAGTTAGTCTCAATAAATTGAACGGTTGATCGCTGTTCAATTATACATCTAATACCACATACTACATACTAATCATGATTAGCGTACTAATGAGTAATTTATTTGGTCAAATCGCTTTATACCCAGATTGGTTATTCGCGTGGGCTGTTCGTTAAGGTCCAAGCTTTCTTTCTTTCTTGGCTGGATGCATGATTGCAAAGTGGCAAGAATAGTGCTTTTCTTTTCCCCCTTCAACACTGGTTTCCGAACTCGATCAACTCGAGTGACTACATAAGCAAATTAAAAGGTTAATGAAAGTCGGTCAATATTGTTTATTATTGTTTATGGTGGCTGCAGATGATTTCTTAGATAGATTCGACGCTACTAGCTAACTCATGCTGTGTACACGTACCTGCTCTGCAATTTTAGTTCGTTCATTATTGCACAAGAATAGGAGGTTGCCATTAAGACGCAAGCATAGTGTTTTATTTATTGATGAGAAGATCATAATATATTTAGTTGACCAACTGTTACATTATTAGTATGTCGCTATTATAAAACGAACTCATATAAGCGAGATACATTAAAAGATAGCATACGCCTGACATATGATATGTGATTGCGTTTACACTTATTAGATTTATCTTTGTTGGAAATGTGTATGAATAGCTTTGAAAGCTATAGAGTCTCAAGTGGAAAAACTACCACATTGGTAGTTTTACTTGGTGAAATGAGTATAAAGATAGGAGCCTCTCTCCTAAGGGCATGCCCCTTGGGGTGACCCACTTTTGTGGGAGAGGGAGGACCTAACGGACCACCACACGCGCGCGCGCGCCGTCCGACCGACCGACCGACCGGTTGGATGGATCACTTGAGACTATATACATATTTTTTGGAGAAATTCCGAACGAAATTAATTATTTAATAATTAATTATTAATCGGTTACTCTAAGGAATATTCCAAGGGATAATCGATTGAAAAGGAATATTCGAAGGATAATCTCCGCAGGATTTATCCTAACCGACGGTTTTAATTAAGGAAGTAATTATCTTCCTTAATTAATCCGACTTATTCCCCAAGCAAGAGGGTATATTCCTAGGGATTCGGCTCCTATAAATAGCCGCCTCCCCAGCCCCTCTAAACACACCACAACGAGCATAAACACAATAGAGAGTGTGTTCAGAGAGCTCCGGTTTTCGCACAAAACCGCGAGTACACAGAGGAGCTGTTTTATCCTGGAGACGACCGGTTGATAGTCTGCCGTGCGCATCGAGGGCAGTGCCGCGAACGTCTTAAAGAAAGTGACCTAGTCCGCGACTCAGCTCCAGATTCGGTATCCTCATCTTGTTGTTGTTCCGTTTTTAACAATCTTAATATATTTTGACGAATCGATCGGAACTCGTCGGTTGTCATTGTTAGACTAGATGAATTTAATGTTTTGAGTTACTTAGTTATGGACTGAGATTCGGCCATTAGATATTAGGGTATAATATTATGACTTAAACTCTGCTTAATTCATAGTTTAAACAACAGAATTCATTGAACGTACGATAAAATTAACGTATGATCAGACATTCACTAAACTGAACCTATATGGCAAAAACTAGCATACGCCTTATGTATGCAATATAACGTGCTGCTGATGAGAATGAACACAATAACTCGAGGGCTTGAAGTTTGCACAGGCCCGCGCATACCATGTGCTTGAAGACAATGGTTAATATTGGGGTCGTGAGGACTTGAACACGTGACCTCAATGACAAACCAACTATTATACCATGTCATAAACCAACTGATTCCAATAACTCGAGTTGTTGGGAGAGATTCATGTATGATAATTAACCAATTTTTTATATACGCCTTTATTTACGCAATATAACGTGTTGCTGATGAGAATGAACACAATAGGCTACGATTGGTTGATATGATTCAGTGTACCACAATAACGTTTTATGGGCGTGACTGTGATCACATGCCGACATGGACGGTTCAGGAGACGGGCGTGGGTTTCGATTCGACCTTTTAGTTCCTGAAGATGGGGGTTTTGCATGCCATGCTTCGAAGTTCGAATACGTTAGGCGAGACTAGATCCGAGGTTTAAATGTCGGGTATTATTAATTAATAATTAGTTGCTCAAAGCTCCTCTAATTCAATTTGTATTACTTCGATTTCAATTTCAGTCATGCATGATGATACTAAACAGCTTTTGCAGAGGTAAATACTGGCTATTTTTCGATATGATATTAGAGTTTTTTCTATTATTATTTTGTTGTGAGGTTAACTCCTCAAAACCTGCTATTTTCAAATATAAATATGACATTAGAGAGCAAAAAGTATATATGGTAGGCTTTTGCAATAATCGTAAGCACCAAACTTGTATTTTGTTTATGAAAATTAATTATTTTGAATTTTGATTCAATTTCAGTAGGTGAACCTCGATAAAGTGATAAAATATACTATTTTAGACTCATATCATGTCATATTGTGCATAGTTTTCATATATGTATTGTGATACTAACTTGAAATTGCTAGTAGCTTCTGTGATTAATGGGCGGTATTCTATGCATTTTTAGACCAAAATATCCTAGTGGACTGCCTTGCATGAGTTAGAGACATTAAGGCCTAAATGTTGGAAGTAAAAAATAAGATTGAAGCTCAAGTCCAAAATTATGTTAGATGTAGTCGACCATATAGCTCAAATTGACGTCTTGAGCATCGTTTTTCAAGACGCCAGATCACCCCGATCACCCCTGAATTGTGTGAATATTCATTACTTGGAGGCTAACCTAGAGATATGTTAGAAAATTTTGGCCAGAAGACTTTCACTCCTACTTTATCTCTGACAAATAACCTTATGGAAGAGGTTATACATAGACTCTCTCATCGAGCATTAGAGCATGAAGTCATACAGGGAGGTTACAGTGCCTACACAACAATGTGTAAAATGAATGATTTTATTAAGATTCAGTCTTGGGTACATCTCCCAAACCCCCAACAATCCTTGTTATTAATATGAGACAGGTTTTGGATATGGTATATGTATCTAAACGTATCGTCGAAAAATTTATTTGTTTGAATTTTAATAATTTCCAATATCAACACTTAATTTAACCACGAAATATGATCTAAGCATGTGCAAACTCTCATTTGAGTGGCAATTGTCTCGATGGTAAAGGCAACCACAAAATTAAATTGATTGATGGAAAATTTTACCCTCTTCAAAGATGGAGAATTCTTCTTTCTCTTTCCAGAATTGTACATTATACCTCTTTTGAGTTTTGAGTGGGAGGTCAACTCAGTGAAGTTCTGCATGTACACTCCTATTTCATGCAAGTAAGCTAGGCAGATCGATCCCCCAAAGTGCAAAACACGTCGGAATTCGACTAGAGTGAGTGAGTTCCCATCACAAAACCAAAAGCAAGAAAGCTTGCTGATTCTACTAAGATAACCGACCAAATGCATGCGCATCCATGTTGTAAATCCAATAAAGCAACCCCAACTTTCCGTCACATATAAAGGTGTTATAGGTGACAACTTTACCTTTTTGGTGTTCAGAATCATGCAAAATGTTTCGTGTAGAGATTTTGGTTTCAAGACTTCTACCGTGTAACATTTTTTCCCATTCCTTTTCATAGTTTTGGGATGGCGAAATTTTATAAACACGAACACTGTGATTCAAAAAATGTCATTGTTAGTTTCGGAGAATACATGAAGCTTCTGTTCGAAGGTGTGTTCGTCTTCTGCATGATTTTTAAGGCTGGATGATACCGTGAGTGGGTCAATTTTTCGTGATAATGTTTTCTCAAATTGATGATGTTGGATCTTGTGCGATTTTCTAAACTCCATCCATTTGCCTGCCTG